CACTAAAATTTCCTTCTGGATTTGATGACGTGCTAACAGCAAACTACTGTATAATGTGTGTGTACATTATCAATGCATTGGAATATTGTGCCCATACGATGATGGGATATTTTGGAATTTTTTACATATTTTCTGTGGATAAAAAGGCTTTTACGTGAAAAAAAAAAAAAGGCCTAGGCTTCTTTATACTATGTGTTATTTTAGAATTTTCTTCTTCCATTATTCAGTTTTCTAAATCTATTTTTTCTTTGAATTCAAAATATTAAACTTTCTTTTGATGAAGGACCAGACTATGGAAGACTCTTAGTGATGGTGAATTTTATCCACAGCATGCAAATCTATCTTTGTTATCTCGCTATCTGTTTTTGTAACCCTGGAATGTTTTTAATTAGATTCTTCATGGAACAATGAGTTCAAATTTGCACTCTATAAAATTCAGCAGATTCTATGCTATTAAAGTAGAAGATTAGAGGATAGCAAAGATGGAAAATGAATCTCACTTGCCTTGTTTTAGCCTTTACCTGAAAAGTCTAACATTTTCACTTGCTTATTTTTATAACCTGATTTAAATACTTTCCCAAACTCTTTGCAGAGTAGGACAAAGGACGCCATTTGTGATGTTTTGTTTGTAGTTTATAAAATTTATCCTAAGGCTCTTGTAATGAAGAGTGAGGTCCTAAAGACCAAGCAATGACAGGAAGTACCATTTTGTTTGTTGTTTTTCCGAAAGAGAAGAGAAAATGGACATTTTGAGATGTTTTAAAATTTATTGTTTGACATCTGTCAGTAGTAGAATATTTTGTTGCTTTAGAATCTGTCTCTTTGAATGAAGGAGGCAATTATGTTCTGCCTTAATGGGCTGCTGAGACTGCCATAAAAACCAATTAGCTGCTGAGTCAATGTAAATAACTATATAAGCTCTATTTCAAACACTTTTTTTTTTTTGGAACAAGGTTGGAAGTAAATAGATTAATTTTAAAAAAACAGCAAGCAAATCCATTGTACATGTCACTGTTTAGCTTTCTGGTCCATATGTTACAAAGAAATGATTTGCAATATGAAGACTAAGTCATAGTCCTTTGCAATCATGAACAGGATATGCTGTGTCACTCCATTATGCTTGAACGATTTTGTTTCCATATACAATTTAATATTATTTCATCATTAATTCTTTTTAACATTTTTTAAATGTGTGTTTTCTAAATAAATGTGCATACAGCTTCTAGTCTCACTTATATCTGTTTGTTTGCTTTAGTAGGATTATTTATCAGTGAAGTTAATTGTAGACAAAACACAAACTTAGTGTAGTTGAGTGATGATCACTGCAAGTACTTTACATTCTGACTTTAAAATCATAAATGTTAATTTGAAGTTTCTTAGGAAGCTCTTCAATTAGATTAAATGATAGAATTAGTGAGGCCACATTTGTGAGTTTATGTTATTAATATGAGAATTTAGTACTCTCTAAAAATGTGTTTTTAGGTTAGCTTGGAAATCTAACTGCAAAACTAAATGCTTATCAATAAAACTTCCATGAGAATATGAACCTGTCTGCTTTCAATCACCACTGAATTCTAATTATGTACCATAATATCTTGCATAGAGTAGCCATTAAATGTTTATAGCATGAATGAATGAATGATTTATGGTTCTTTATATTATTTTCAGGAACCTGAAATGTTATTTATGAAAGGAAATTTTAAGACTAATTTTCACATTTCTATTAAAAAATGTATTAGTACCTTACATTTTTACTGTTTCCTTATCATAGTGCTACATTATTTTGAAAACATTTTTAACAAAATGAAATGAGGTTTCATTGACCTACAGTTGAAGAAAGTCTTCTGGTCAATAGAATTCCATCTGTAGCTTATTTTCACTATATTTTCATTGATTACATTTTAAACTTCTTAGACTCTAACTGCAAGAATAGATCATGGCAAAAAAAATAAAATAATGTGTCTTTAAACCACCAATTCATAATGTTCTGGTCAATAATGTAACAGTGAGATGATTTAAATGTTTTTTGCTACACAGAGAACTCTTGAAAAAAGTACCTTTCTTAAAGCCTAGATAAATAATCTGGATACCTAATTCACATATTTTATATGATTAATTTCTTGTCTCCTGGGGGTAAATATTTCCCTTGGGAGCCAACAACCTGGTGAAGGAGGGATAAATGAAAAATGATTAGCCTGCAGTGAGATAAGAACAGAGGCATTGAGAAGAGGGTGCCCTTGGGTCTGTAGAGAAAAACTAACAACTAATCATACCTGAGAAAATAAAGGAAGGCTTCATAAGGAGGCTGGCCACACTTCAGTTATCTTAAAGTAATTGAACAGTATTAAAGTTGTATAAATTATTATTAACCAAAATGGCTAATAAGGAAGAATTAAAGATGTATAGTCCATTTCGATAGTTGAATATTATGAACATGCTAAAAGTGTCTTCCAAAAATTTTAGCACCATGTATTTGATATAATGACTGCAACTCAGAATTATGCAATGAAACTTCAATTGTATAAAAGATATGTGTGTGCAAAAAAACCTCTAAAATTCACTATTCCAAATGTATTATGGGTGATTTTCATTTTTCCCCTTCATGTTTTGTAAATAAGCTTTTTCTTTAATGTGAATGCAGAATTTCTGCTTTTTGGAATAGAATATCATGAGCAGCATTGAAGGTGGGAGAGAAGAGATTTTACCTTTGTGTGATAGAGAAAGGGCAAGAAACTTGAGATTACTCAATTTAGGGTATTAAAAAGTGAAACCATAAATTGCAAAGAAAAGTAGAGTGAGAACCAAGGACAGTGTCACATCCAAGGGAAGAAGAATTGTTAGTGATATTAAATGCCACAGGGGTTCAAGAGCAATGGAGATTGAGAAGCCATTGCTCATAAAGATGAGGTCAGAGAGTGAATGCTGAGACTGTTAAAGAATTGGGGATCCTGTGAGGAGGACTTGGAGATCAGAAAGACCAATTTTTGCCTTAACCTACTAAGTATATTGTGTTTGTTTTGATTGGATGTCCATTAAATATTGCTAATGCATACATTTTAAAGGATTACCTGCACTCAATAAAAATGATAATATATGTCTTCTACAAATACATATTTTACAATACATATTTTATGCATATATATAAAATGTGCCTAATATATTTGTATATACCTTTATATTATGGATACATAGATGCATGTCTTTGTTTATACCTTTCTGTTGATATAGTTTTTTTTTTAAAGATTTATTTATTTATTCTACAAGAACTGGAGTTCAAGCCAGAGGTGCAAGGGAGAGTGAGAGGATTCACCAGAGACAGAGTGGGAAAACATAGAAGGCAGACTAGAGCAGTGGGCAAGTCAGGAGAGGTCTGCTATGCCATGTGGGTCACCTCCCTGGCTGGGAATCGAACTCATGCTGCAGTGACTGTGGGTAGCTTCACAGTGCTGAGACTTTAACCCCTTACACCACCAGGGAGGCCCTGATGTGTTTTTTTTAAATACATAAATGTGTATCTATTTAAATCCAAGGACAATGGAACTCACAATTGGTATGAGGAATGAATTAAACAGCTGTAGTAGGTGACAGAGAGATTAGGAAGCCATAGTACCCCAAGGTCACAAGAAGGTGGTGTCCCAGAAGGAGATGAGAACCTGCTGACAGCATCCCTGGGGACAGCAGGGGAAAACATCCTGACTTCTTCCCTCTTCCCATTTTTCAGTATTCCACCAGTGCCTCTCATGGGCCAAGGCTCACTGGGACCAGCTGAGAAGTGAACTTGGATTGTGTGGTTCATAGGGGTCAGTTTACTGGGATATAGATCAGAAGAGAAGTGAGGAAAGGGATGAAAAATGTTTATTAGGATGTATTAATGAGATAGAAATGTATCCATTAGGATAGAAATGAGGCTGATTGCCAACACTTCTTGATAGACTGAAATATTTCTGGACTGAAATATTTAAGAAAATATTTAATGAAATCAACTTTGTGTCTTTCATAGCTGGGTGGATAAAATCTTGTCACTCTCTGGTAGCAGAACCATAGAGTAGATAATAGCAGAGAGTCATTTTCAACTCTCTGATTTTAGTGCATCATAAAATTACTTCAGTTGTGTATGAATGCACTTTGCTGCAGTCATTTTCATATGCAGTATTCACATAATGAATTGATGGAGTCCAGACAGTCTTACCGAAAATACCCATAACACATATGGATTTAGAACTGAAGATTTTGTCGCATAAGAACTTTCAAATGACATTTCTGCAACCCACATATTTTATTTCAACCTATAATACTCTTTCTATAGAGGAAATAAAAGGTTTATAAAATTTAATCCCCAACAATAATTTCCTTTGTGGAAGAGTTATAATTATCTCTAAACCATGTTAGACCTCTCTTCTCTGTTACTACATACTTTTCTTACTGATATTGAGGTTATTAAAATGTACTTCAAAAGTTAGTTCTTTCTAAGTGTTTTCCTTTTTATACAATGTCAGACCTAAATAGTGCCTAAAATAATACCTAAAGTAATGCCAAAGAATCAGAATATTTTTATTGTATTATGTAATCTCCTTGTTTTTATTCCCAGTCATGTGTAGAGCACAACTAATTTCAGCTTTTTTTTAGATGACTTTTTATTTATTTATTTTTGCATAGAAGAACTGGGATATAGGCCAGAGGTGCAGGGAGTGAGAGGATTCACCAGAGACAGTGGGGAGCAGAACAGGAATATTGTCTGAAATACACTGCTGAGGGGAGCAGCGGGCGAGCCAGGAGAGGTCTGCTGTGCACCCTGGCCGGGGGTCGAACTTGGGCCTTAAAGGTGATAGTGGTGACTCTTAACCCCTAGTCCAGCAGGGAGGCCCATAATTTGAATTATTTTTGAGGATAAAAAGAAAATATCACTCGAGAAGAGCATGTCATTTGCTTTATGATATAAATCCTGGGCTTAAATCAGAGCACTCCCATTGCCTTTTAAAAATGGAGGTTTTTCATTGCAGACGATTGGAACAGAATTCCATCAAGGTCATCCCGCCTGGAGCTTTCTCACCCTACAAAAAGCTTAGACGAATGTGAGTAAATACTATTCTGGAATATATGTAATTTTTAAATTATCTATGTCACACCCATACCATGACATCCATTTAAGAATGAAGATTTAAGTGTCTGGCACATTATATATAAGTGTGATGCCTGCCTGATGACAGGTTCTATGCTATTTAATGTTAAAGGCTAAACTGTGCACTTAAAAATTTTTTTGTCATTTAACATAACGATTCACACAACTCTGATTGTGTGTGGTCAGCTTTTATGCAACCCAAGTCTAGCTGTTCTGTTTTCAAAAATAAGCATCTTTGAGAATAATTTAAGCAATTAGCCAACCATTGATTAAAATGTGTGATTTTTAAAATAATTTAGGATGCTTCAGAAGTTTCATGTTACAAATTTTATAAAGTATGGACAGATGTAAAATGAACATGTGAAGGCAATAAATAGCTTTCTCCTGCTGTAAATCTCACTGACATTCTATTCAATTTAACCCTATTTCTAATCTTAGCGACCTAAGCAATAATCAGATCTCGGAACTAGCACCAGATGCTTTCCAAGGTCTACGCTCTCTGAATTCGCTGTGAGTATTGACCACATCCCTGGGGGAGCAATCGTCCATCTAATCTTGACTCTGTTCTTTTAAATTTGTAAATACTTCTTAAAGTTTTTAATGTGAATGATATGTCCTATTAATCATGAATGAGTTGTGTCATCTTTATGGAGAACTGCTACCTATCACTCCGTTCAGCCCATTTTTAGGCGTATGTATTTTAGGACTTGATAATTTTGCTGTTTTGAGAGCAAAAGTCTCAACCCCTTTATTGGCCTTTTTTTTTTTTTCTGGAAATAAAGAGGAGATGTTCATTTTAGACCACTCTGACCAGTGTCGTTATAATCTCTAAACAGATAGCCCCAGTCTCTGGAGACAGTATCAGTCCCCTTTAGAATGATGCCAGGTGAATAGTTAAAGATGACCAGTGAGAGCTGCTTACTTTTCCCTACTCATCCCCTTCGTGAAAGAGCCAGCTTTAATCTCAAAGAGCAGAGATAAAGAAAGTATGACAGCTTTTTAATGTCAAAAGGACTTTCAGGGAGATAACTATATAAATTAAAGAAGTTCTAAAATAAATGGATAAAACTGTTACTCCTCCCACTGGTGAAGAAATCTTCAAGAATCTACCAAGCAAAGTGAGTTTTATTTCCAATTTTAATTTTTAAGTTAGAAAATAGAGGTGAGCATGTTTGTGGTTTTGGTTTGCTTGTAGAGTTGACGCCAAGGCAAGTGCCCTTATTGATGTAAATTAGCTCAGAGGTTGAGGGATTCTGAAGTCCCGGTGGAATCCCACAGTGCACCAACACAGGACCCAGCTCAACAGTTTCTGCTCACTCATACTAAGGGAAGGACTTGGGGGCACACCCACCTGTGCACATAGGTATCTGGTCAGAAAGATACATGTTTCCTTGAAGAAAGAAAGTAGAAAACTGTCACTTCTCCTGCAATATGTGCAGAGATTCATTTTGTTTGGTTTTTGTCTTGGGATTTTTTTTTTTTTTAACCAGAGTAAGTCCAAGACCAGAGGAACAATTGTTGGCAGGAAATATAGAGAGCAGTCATGAATTGCTCTCAGGGTGGGTTGTCAGATTCTATAATAACCAAGTTCAGTACAAAACTCAAGTACCTCTCCCCATCAGATTGTCCGTAAAGTGCTGTGCAGTCCATCCTGGACAATAATAGTATTTAATGTGGGATAGAAAAGGTCCAGAAGAACAGAGCAAAATTCAAGTCCATATACAAGTCCCTGGTTTGTCAAGTGTCTGCACCTCAAAGAAAAGGAAGACAGGAATGGGTAGAGAAATCTTTATTTATATCTGCTCGCTTGCGTACTTTATTATGAAGCTCTATTGCCTTAATTGACAATTGTGTGATTGTGAAAATTAAATAAATAATAATCAGAAGCAAACTAAAGGAAATAATAAGTAGAATATACTGCCCTTTATTACAATAGATTATATGTATTGAGGTAAATATAGTTATAATGAATTATTATAAAATGTTATGTAGTAGACTGAATAAATAAACTAGTAGCAAATAAAAATGAAATGAAATAGCACGTGTAGAAGAACATGCTTGCTGAATTGGCATTTGCATCTTCGTGATCACAGCTGTGAGTCACATAGTTCTTTTGGAAAACTGCAGAAAAGCATGATCTTTCCTTTGCAGTTACATTTCAGTCTGAGACATTGTCGTTCAAAACAGCAGTGCATAGTAGAGTGGGAACTGTTTTGTAGAAGTTGGGGTAACCATAGCAAGCCCTGCGAGGGACACAGCCTAGGAGAGAATCAAATAGCTGGGCTGTCTTAGAGCAAGTCCAAGTGTTTGACCTGGTATCATTTTCCTCATTGTGTTCACATTTTGAATGGACCTTCCAAAGATTACTTCTCACCTACATAAAATCTGTTAGCACCACACAGAATGACAGCAGTCCTGTCCATTGACCTACAGTCTGCTTTTCCACAGGAATGTGGAATAGTGTGTGAAGCCTCTGTGTGTGGTAGGTACTAGTCAAGATTGAAGAAGCTCCAGTGGACAAACACAAAACCCCTCCCTCGTGGCACTGGACCCATGATAACCAGATAATAGGCAAACAGCACAGTAGATCTGATGAAAAAATGCTCTCAGTAGATCTGATGAAAAAAGGCCAGGGAGGGGAATGCTGACATTTTAAAGAATTACAAATTAAAAAAAATATTTTGAATCAACAAGCTCCTCCCAAGAAAAGGATATCTGGCAAAGGACTGAAGACTCAAATCATAGCAGTGACCTGTGCAGATAGAGCAGAAAGAGCAGCTCGATCCTGGGCTCTGTGATAGCTGGGCACCTGGTGTTTCAAGAAAGATTAAAAATAAATAAACCACTGTGGCTGGTGGGGAGCAGATATTTGAAGCTAAAGTAAGGGAGAAATATGGTTGGTTTAGGATGTGGCCAAGGGGTAGGAGTGTAATGTGTTGATAGGTTCTCTGGAAAGGCGTGGTCTTGGAGACACTAATAGTGAGCCACATAGACGTGAGGGGACTCTGGAGTGTGTAGACAACTGCAAGAACTGTGCTTCTTTTTAAAATCAAATTTGCACTTACACTAGTTTCTCTTCAACCTGATAGGTTAATTACCATGTCTTTCTGAAATTACAAACTCAAGTAGAGAGCCAGTTTCATTGAATTACTCTATTTGTTAAAAAGGGAAAATATTTAAAGATGATAGGATGCTAAATACCTCCACTGCATCTTATTTAAAATGTTTGTTATTTAATTACCAAAATAGTGTATTTTAGAGAAAGCTGGATTTGATTTGTTGAATATTTTATAAAGTTCTATTAAATAAATGCATTAGCATTTATTTTATGAATATTTTAATTTTATTACACTATTACATAACATTATATTATATATTAATATATTTTATTAATTAACATGTTACATATTATTAACAAGTTATCATCATTCAGAAGATGTGCATATATTGAACCATTTTGTCCTCAGGACATTTTATTGCTCTCACTGTGACATCAACAAAATTTCTGCAATATTTAATAGTAATTTCCTAACAACTCAGTACATACTAGTTTATTTAGCATTGTCCATAAACATTTTAATTGTTTTCCATTTACAAGTTGGAAACCTCCCTTCACATTAATGAAATAGGATGTCATAGAGATACAGTGGCACAGTGGGTTATCTTTGGACACTAGACGACTTTAGAAAAATACTGGCTTTAACACTTCCTAGGCACATAACTGAAAAGATAGCAGTTCCTTGGGCCTTATCCTGGGGGTACACTTATTACCCAACTGGTTTTGTTAAAACAGCGGAAATATTCAAGAGCCAACAAATCACCTAGATGCAGCAAACTCTTGTCCTTATTATTTACTAATTTATATGTGCCTGGATTGTGTTCATTCCAGAGAAATTTTATGCCCAAGATCCTCAGACCATGGTCTTGTTTCCCTTTTTTTCCCCATGTGTTCTTTGAAAAAGATTGTAGATCACTTCTGATTTCTTTGCTTCCCTTACTAGCTCCCAAATTCCAACCACATCTCCACTGCCAGACTTGATGGCTGCATTTTCTAGTCTTTTCTAGGACAGGTGTTCATCTCTTGTTTAGTATCTTGGCGTTTGCTACTGGTTGGCAGTAAAAAGGAACATGGAGCATCCTCTATTTTCTCTTTAATGGATTCTCTTAAAAGCTGCTTAGTATCTTAATTCTCAAACATACATTTATCTTCATTTGTAAGGCTAGCTCTCTCACACTTATTTGGTCAAGGCTGACTATTGCATCTTTTTCATGGGAGCCATTGAGCACATTTCCATTTTGGACTTACTTCTCTTCATCAGAATTCTGTCTTCTGCCAAAAAGATAGGACAATTCAAAGACCGGCCATATATATCCTACTCTCATAATCTTGAAACTCATCAGGGTGAAACTGGATTTAGCATTCTTGCCCTTTCTTCAAGTAGCAGTTACAAGAGCTACCTTAATATTTCCCTGTTGTGCCAAAGGTTGATAAAAATAGCTCTATCAGCATAGTTGTACACCGTGCAATGTGCTGAATATAAGCCATGCATAAGACAACTATGGAGAAGCAACCCAATTTGTCACTCTTGGCATTTGAATGATAGTATACAAATCCCTCATGTACTTATTTTCTTTTCAGCTGAATTCATTTTTATCTTTCAATTTCTTTTTTACATTTTCTTTCCCTCTTATAACTGTAGCACAAATTCTCACTGGTCTTCTTGTCGTTTATATCTTTATGAGATGACATGTCTTTCCCTCATTTTTATAGCTTTTGGCCCTGTTTTCTTGACTATGGTCCAATGTCTTTGTCCTCATCTTTGAATGTTTTATATTTTAACTCCTTTTTCCTGGCTACCATTTTGATTGCACTGTGATTAAGTAAACTACTCAGGCCTCTTTGTGGAGACATCTCATTCCCATCACATCTCTGAAGCATTTTTATTATAATATTTTTATGATTGATAGCCCCTCTACCCGAAAACGCCTACACGGGTACATTGCCTGCATCCTTTTTTCCACTTGTGTGCTGAAGTTGTCTCACTGACAATAATCACCTACCTCTCTTGACATGATCTTAAAGAAAACAATGATTTATTAGGGAAAAAATGTTGCAACAGTAACATGACTCATCTCTTCAACAGTCCTTCCTCCATGCTATTTGAACCAACCTTTGAAGAAAAATCCCAAAGGAAGAAGATACTGAGACTGTTCACCCCCTTATTTCTGTGTGCATACTTCACAATTTATGTGCACCTCATTTCCGGTTAAATCTCAGTAGATTCAAACTACAAAATCCCTTCAGTATTCAAAATCGCCCTTTGGGTTGCTGTTGTTCTCTGAGCCCTTTCTTACTCATCTCTGTATTACCAGTGCCTGGGACATGGACAGATAACAAACATTTGATCATAATGTTGGCTTCAGTTTAACTGGGCACCAAGCTTAGAACCTGGCAAAGTTCCTGGCACGTAAGATGTGTCTCATATCTATTGTGAAATGAAGGGATTGAATGGAAGCCATCTTGGTCTACTCATTTGTGTTCCTAAAGCCTGCCTCTTAGTTATTCCTCATCTTACAGATAAATTTGTTCTTGCCTTTTTTTTTTTAAAGATTCATTTTTATTCATGCATACAAGATCTGGGGTAGAGACCAGAGGTGTGAGGCGTGAGAGGACTCACCAGAGACAGAGTGGGGAGCATAACAGGCAGATTGACTGAAACACACTGCTGAGGGGAGCAGCGGGCGAGTCAGGAGAGGTCTGCTGCACCATGTGGGTAGCTCCCTGGCCAGGGATTGAACTCATGCTGCAGTGGATGCAAACAGCCTCTAGGTTGTGTCTTAACCCCTTGTGCCACCAGGGAGGCCCTGTTCTTGTTTTTTAATTCCCTTACCCCCTTGACCCTGATGCTCTGGAATTCTTTATTTTATTCTTTGATTTCTTTTTTTCATTGTTACTTCTCTAATCAACATACATTTTTTAAAAAGCATCGATATTCAATACATATGAATTTTTCTTTATAATTGTACCACTGGAATATATACAAGTGGAATGTCTTTTTACTTAATGTAACATAGCGTGCAGTTTTATTGATTCCCTTGAGGATTTTCTTCATATTTTATATTTGTTCCACTACTCACTGATGTCTTAAAAGGAAACAGCTTTCCTCTCACGCTTACTCATCTTTCTTGTATTGTTATTTTCCTCCTTTTCTAACAGAAATCAGGTACTGCTGCCAAATATATTATTTTGAGTCTCACTTTAGCTTTCAAGTTTACGTATTTATTTCTTCCCCCAAAGTTTTTTCTCATTTTCAAAGTGATATATTTCCTTTGAGAAAAACTATGAAAATAAAGAAAAATACAGACACAAATTCATATGACCTCTGGATGGCAAATCACTGACCATCCAGATATTTTCCACTTTCTGCCTGTGTATTTAGACATGTATGTATTTTTCTTAACAAAATTGAAATCATACTGCAGTAGACACATTTATCTTACATTTTCTCAACGTAATTTATATTATGAACATTTTCATGTCACTATTCTCCACAACATGTTTTTTATGAATTTGAAATATGTATTTTAACCCATTCTCTTGTATGGGATTTGGAAAAATTTTATTTGCACTTAAATGTTCACTGTCATGATTATGCCATGATTAACATTTTATATATAAATATTGCATTTGTCTCTGATTATTTTCATAACTTCCTAAGAGTAAAAGTGCAATATAAACATTTTATGAGTTTTGACATGTCAAAATTGTTCCCTTAAATATATAATTTCTACCTTTTTTTACACATCACTGTGGTCTCCTATTTTGTGGGCTAAAACAGATAGGCATTATTGCATATGGACCTATTATTAATAGGCAACATGATGAGTCCCTTTCCATTTGCTTGTCAATCAAATTCCCCTATTCATCCCTTTTGTTAATTTATTCCTTAATTTCCCCCCTGCTAATTTGTCTTCATTTCACTCATCAATGTTGTAATGTCACTACCTGCCAAAGCCTGTAGTGGACGCCAGGTGTACTGAAGGGGCTGGGTCACGATCACTTCGTAACTGATCACTTGGCAACTGATCACAGGTAGAGATGGTGAAGATTCCTATTCATGTTTCACAAGGACTGTTCATTGAAGAAATTCCCTGTGTTAGTATTAATGATTAATGTCTTCACAGATCTAACATTTCTTAAGCACACATATGTATGTCAAGCAAAAACCTTATCTCTGTGTAGATTCCTTTCACTTCTGTTTACCAAAATGATAAGCCCCAAATCCATCCATTTAATGAGCAATAGATTCTACACTTAGTGTTCTCCTTTCTTATATACAGTAAACCTTCATTACCTAGGAACCCTGTGTGTGTGTGTGTGTGTGTGTGTGTGTGTGAGAGAGAGAGAGAGAGAGAGAGAGAGAGAGAGAGAGAGAGAGAGAGAGAATGTGTGTGTGTGGTGTGTGTAAAGAAACATGGCATTTTAATAGTGGACATTTCTTTGAAAGGATCATACAATTATAATATAAGCTAATGTCATTTATATTATGCTTCTTTTTTTTCTATATTTTCCGAACTTTTTACAGTAAGCATACATTTGATCTGTAATCAGTAAAAAAAAAAAAAAAATTGCAAATTGAAATTTGTTTACTGACTATAACTTTCATGAGTTACAGGGTTCTTACTAACCTCCCATATACCCAAATACATATGTTTTGGATGAATTTGGTATGCTGGTTTGGTGTCTGATTTTTTTTTTAATTTAAATTATGTTTTTTCAGTGTCCTCTATGGAAATAAAATCACAGAACTCCCAAAAAGTTTATTTGAAGGACTATTTTCCTTACAGCTACTGTGAGTATCTGATTATTTTTTATCTGCTGAACTTAAGTATTATGTTGTGGTCAGTGTACCATCTCTTATTACACAGAGACTTCAGAAATAGTCAACCCAAAATAACATAGTTTAATGAAATGGAAAAAATTAGTTTGGTGGAGCTCACATTAACGATGGTTATTCATTTGAAGGGACAACATTTTGAAGTTGTTTCAATCTTTCATTTCCACGCCAGCGTAAATGTCTGCATCCTATCATTTAAAGCTTGTCCAATCCCTGCTCTTTGTGAATATTCTCTTTTTGAATTAACAGTAGTCAGAAAGGAGTGTGATTTGTTTACCCATCTTTGTCCAAAGAACCTGCAGGAGCAGTGCTAAAACTGCTCCCCAGCATAAAAGTGGGGGCAGTAGGCCAGAACACAGCTGAGATATTCATACTAGTCTTCAGTAAAAGAATTATCAATAAATCCCTGGATTATGTCTTCCAAGATTATGCTGGTCAGACAGTAGGAAATATAAAGAAAATTAAAATATGCTAATCTAACATAAAATATGCTAATCTACTGGGTCACCAAATTCTGTTCCAATCACCAAACATGTATCAGAGTCCTGATTTGGGTCACACAAGGCCTAAAATTGTGGAAAACAAGATAAGTATGCTGCCATTTCTTCTCCTAACTAGTTCACGGTCAGCCTATTTTAAAAATCTTAAATTCCCAATGTTATTTTCTTTTTCAGGTATATGCATTTGTTGACATTAGGGTTATTACTGTTTCTTTGGTAAAAATGTATCCCTGATCCCACAAACTCTTTAAATACTTTTCTTGTTTAATAAACATGATCATAATTGCATACTATTACCCACATTGTAAACATTTCTCATCACCCAGCAATATATTTTATATCTCAACTTACTTCTCATATATAGACACACACAACAAATTGTTAATAAAAGTATTTAAGTTTGTGTAGTGCCCTCCATGCTTCCCTCCACCCTCTCTCTCTCTCTTTAATACCGCATAATCCAATACATTGATTTTATAAAGGAACAATGAGGAGTGATAAATATTGACCTTTGTGACCTAATGACATTGAGTTTCAAATTACTTTGTAAGCCTTGCAATGGAGTTAGCAAATATTCTTTCTGAAATTTAATGTAATTGTTCTATATATATCACAGGTGTAGCTCGATACTATAGCCAAGTGGGGCCTACTTGTTATTTATGTCTCTGTCATTCTTCTAGTCTTCCTTAGCATTATTCTCCTTGTCATTGACTTGGGATCGTTTGCTCCCACTATCCTGCCTGGTACCAACTCTCAGGATGGCACTTTCTTTCCATTTCCACACATCTATTGATAGTTGACATAACGTGTTAAGAGACCCTGGGGTCTACATGTAGCTAAGCCTTACTTAAAAAGCCAGCTCAGTCCCTCAGAATAATGCTGTATCTCTAGATTAAGATCCAATACTTCAGCCTGCCAGGTCTAAAAGGATATGAGTGTCTCTTGAAAGTTATCTGAGAACTTGGCTAGGTTAAGCATCTCAGATCTGCTTGAAATGATGAGGTATTGGGAGCAGGCAGGTGACAACAGGAAAAGAAGGTACCAGTTTCTTATCGCCCCGCCCCCATAATTTTTTTGGGCCACATACATTTAAAGTTAAGTACAAAATGCTCAAAACATTTTCCAGTTGTCCTCAGGCTTCCTACTTTCTCCTTGTCCTAATTATTTTGCTCTCCAGCGCCTTTCTTCAGTTAGCTGATGTAATACAGAGCTGTCGGTATGGAGAGATAAGAGATTAATCAGTGCAGACCTCAAATTAGGCCTCTAAGCTTTTAAGAAACTGTAAGAAACTGTTGTGGAGATCCAAAAAAAAAAAAAAAAAAAAAAAAAAACTATAGCTCTTACAGGGGGATTTTAAAAAAGTATTTTCATGAGAATCACCAAGAGGAAATCACAGATTTCATGTGCATGGAATTCCTAAAAAAGTCAGCAAGGAAAACTGGAATTCCCTATATTAATCAAAGATAGATATTTTTGTGGTCAGAAGAGATAGTATTTCTCAATGTTAGATATTAACTCATATAACCCAAATCACATAGCGCACATTTTTGGCACTACTAACTAAATATTTATTAAAATCCTAAGTATCACAGCGTTGAACTTAATGATGATGGAGGAAGGTATCCGCCTTACCCCCAGAAAAAAAAAAAATCACTTCCGATGGAGACTTCATAGCCTTTGTAGAAATCAATGGACCTAAATGAAACAGGTGACAAGACTAGGTTGAACTGTATGATACCTTTGGGGCTGGAGAGAGGACTCTTTTAGTTGGGTGGAAATTGTGTCCTGGAAAAGTCTCTATTTTCTGTGATATCTTATTATCTGTGATAATAAGCAAGAAAGTGGAAAAAAGTGTAGAGCAGGGCAAGTATATTCCCAGGGGTGAGCATGAATGAAAGCTTAGACTCAATCACATATGTCCAGTAAGAATGTTGCCGGCCCAAGTTTGATCTGAAAACGCCAGTGCCAAAGAATATGGACTGAGAATATTGAAAGAGGAAAAAAATAAGTTAATGGGATATTGTGCTAAACCACATTAAATGGCTATTTCTAACATACTTCGAGAGCCTTGAATATGGCCATGTTCTGTGTCACTCCAAGAGGAATGCAGATTATCCGTTCAAGAGTGAATATTGATTGGGCATAAAGTATGTGCCAGGCACATGGAACTATCAGGGAACAAGGTAGACAAATATCCCTGCTGTCTGGGGTGTCGTTGGGGGAAGGAACCTGCAAATGACAGCAGTAACATAATAAAGATAGAAATCCTATATATTGCAGAAGGAAATATGCACTTAATAGAAAAAGTAGATCAAACTAAAGGAATTGAGAGTGATAGGTTGAGGCAGGGCAAAGACTGTCTGACTGCATTTAAGAGCAAGGTCAGGGCAGACTTGAGAAGACCAGATTACAGCAGGCTTAGAAAAAGGCAAAGCGCAAGGCAGACAGCGGGGAGAACATTCTACGCACTGGGGAAGGTAGACCAGTGTGCGGCCTGTGTGGCTGGAGCTGAACTAGCTGGGAGGAGAGAACTTGAAGATGGCAGGTCTATGAGGCACCAAGGAACCTACAGGGTCCTCCAGGCGATTGTAGGGACTCAGTTTACCCCATAAACTGGAAGTCGTGTGTAGTTTTGCACATTGCAGGATCACTGAGAAACTCCTGCCAAGAGCAGTAGCATATCTGATGTGAATTCTAGGAGAATCTCTGTGGCCTGCTGTTTTAAGAACATTTCTTTTTCATGGAGTGACATGAGAGGATCCAATCTTGTGATATTTGGATGGTATCCTGGACAGCAGAGGCTAGGTCTCACCTGTCATTATCTCCTGCTCTAAATCTGAACCTTCTGTAGAATAGAATTAATAAGTTTAATGGATCAATGTACAAGTACCACTAGACTTAGGCATTCATTAGACCACAGGTCCCTTGATACATCAGGCATCATCCCAGTTCTGTCCCTGGTACCTAAATTTTGACAAAATGTTAGTGCTATGGTTAAAAGAAATCTATTTCTTGATTGGGTTTTCTCAAGAAGCACTGAATGGTGAAGGTGGATTAATGAGATGCTACACTTTAATTCTACAACTGTTTGATCAAACAGATTACTGAATGCCAACAAGATAAACTGCCTTCGGGTAGATGCCTTTCAGGACCTGCACAACTTGAACCTTCTGTCCTTATATGACAACAAGCTCCAGACCATCGCCAAGGGGACCTTTTCGCCTCTCCGGGCCATCCAGACAATGTATGTGTGCTTGAAGTGGGCCAAATTGGATGATGCTCATTTTCACTTTGAATTTGAGAGTTGATTCCATTGCAAGTCATGTATAAAAGTGTCCTGTGTGTGTTTCTGAAAGGCATTTGGCCCAGAACCCCTTCATCTGTGACTGCCATCTCAAGTGGTTGGCGGATTATCTCCATACCAACCCAATCGAGACCAGCGGTGCCCGCTGCACCAGCCCCCGGCGTCTGGCAAACAAAAGAATCGGACAGATCAAAAGCAAGAAATTCCGTTGTTCAGGTAATTTCTGCCTTCGCGTGGCCTTTCCCCAGCGCTCCCAAAAATAGTGGTTACGTGAGACCTAGGCTTGCCACTGAATTACCAAAGATTGTAGAATTTTTTATCCTTCAGTCCATAAAGAAAAAGTAGAGAGAACAATTCATATCTTCATAGCACTTCTCTAGGTAACAGTTTAATGCTCTATCCAGCAGAAGTAGGCTACCAGCCAAGAGAAAACAATGCCTGGATATTTCATACTCTCTTCCCGTGGTTCAAACTCCACGGGAGATTTTAGATCTTTCAGAATGTCCTTTCAGCCTATTAAATCTCGTGTTTACTGTATCATTCTCCAGTGAGCAACTTCAGGTAATCAATCATTTCTTCAGAAAATGAACTGAGACTTTACAAGGTAGAGGGGAGATGACCCTGATCTTTTATTTCTCACCCTAGATGCCACTTTTCATTTTGCATTCTCTTATTTGGCATTGTGACTATTTTTTTTTCTTAAAAGACCATCTTTAAACATTTGGGGGCCATTACATTTATTTATGATAGGCTAAATATAGAGTCACTGTACCAATATTAAGTAGAAAGCTCCCTTCATTGAAATTCACTGTGTGTTATGGCCTAATCTTTTTCATTTTCTTATGAGAGAATGCATTGTATGTATTTTTCGTAGTCTGCAACCTGACTATTCCAGGCATATTTCACATTCGGCAGTTAATTCATACTAAAAAGCTAATATCAAAATAAAGCTGTTTATTGTCCATGGTTCTAGATTTACTACTCACTGTACATTGTACTTCAGCCACTGCTGTGAATAGACATTTTTCACTTAATTATCTATAGTAACTTTAGTTCATTCTTAATCTAATATAACTCATATCTCTGCTTGCTGACATTCAGGTGCATCTTCTATTTTTTTTCTCTTTTTTTATTTAGCTAAAGAGCAGTATTTCATTCCAGGTAGGTTTTGCTCGGTAGTAGGACTAACTGCAGACACCCTTTCCTCACCTTATAAACTGTAGCTCCTGAGACTTTGATATGCATGCTTTTGAAAGTACAGTGGGTACTCTTGTAGCTAGATTTCCTTCTGCATAGATCATTTGTAGCTGTTTCCTGAAAAAAAAAAAAAACAAACCTGACCTTTGCATGCAGCTTCTGATATTAAACATATATACATTATTATTAAACGCCCACTTTTTTTTTTCCTCTCTCTCACTTTGGCACATGAGCTAAAATTTATCACAATAACTAAAATGTTTGAACCTATGGCTTTCTATTTAAATCTTTTTCTCTCTTTTTGTTGTATATCTGACCTTTCCAACTGTTTTTAAAATCTAGCTTATTGAGCTGGTTTTAAAGACAGAGGCCTTTCTATTGTCAAAGAGCTAGTTCTACATGAAATCAGTCACCACGCAGAGACTGGCATCTCCAATCTGGAGACTCACTTTTCAGATACATTTTCATATTAAAAATGTGTCCCTTTTTGCTTTTTTGGCTTCCTTTTGCTTCCCTCTCTATCGAAAAGAAGCAGCTGTCAGTTGCCTGTGACTTCACACCCTTACTTACCTGGAGTCACACTATAAACTCCCAGAACATTCCTGCTGAAAGCATCAGAAGTAGCTGACTGAAATGTTGCTAGTGAAGTGATGGAAAAGTTTTACCCTTACAGCTTTAACACTGTTAAGGCTGATGATTCTAGAACTAGCTCTCTGAAATATGTTTCTTTACTTAATTTTTCCTTGCCTGCCAATTGTGTAAAATGCCTCTTGCCTTGTTTGTTTTAAACCTTTATATAAAAATATATGTTGGTAATTGACTAGTTATAATATCTCCTGGGTATATTCCATATGACATTTTAACAGCTATAAATAAAAAGTTATTTCTATAGCATTAGTCTACAAACCATACTTATTTTCTGAAAAAGAGCCCTGGGTTTAGTCTCTATTTTGGCCTCTATTATCATTTGCCAGTATTAAATTTTAATTTGAATAATTTGTGCATTTAACAGATTTTTTAGTAGTTATTTTGAGATGGAATGACCAATAATATTTTATATGTTAGCATTGACTGCATGAGAGGTAACATGTTGAAAAGAACAATTGATTGACCTTTTTTGGTGATCTTTATTGGTCTTTAGAATTCATTATTTTTACCCAATTATTAAACAGTTATCTGACAGCTATTACTTACTCAGGAAAAAAAAAAAAAACATATTCTAAACACCAGACTACCCACAGAATAAATATATTAGTATGACATAAACCCCAAAATTACATTTAATATAGATGTTACCAAATTAGTCACTCTATTATATTTAAATGTTTTATTAACAATTTAGAGACTAAGAGTTCCAGTTCACCAAATAAAGAAAATAAAGGTTTTTTTAAATAAATTCTAATACAATTTTGCCTTCTTATGGATAGCAACCAAAATAGTTTTTGGAAAATGTCTTTTATATCAGACATCATAATTTAACTGTCGGTTTCTGATCATTGAATTTATGTATTTTCAAATAATAATTATACAAGTGAGAACTCAAAATAATTCTTTGGACTTCCACTCACTTTTTCCCCCAGAATTTTATTTAAAATTTGAGCCTGCATAAAAAGCCAATCCAAAATAAGCATTATTAACATTGCATTCAATGCAGATTATTTTAAATGTAAGATACTTAATGTACTTTGTTCCAGTATTTGCTCATTGCACGTTTAAAGCTACATCTTAAACCACAACACAACACAGAGCGCAATAATGCTGTGTGGCATTAATTGCCAAATGTAGTGAAACTATTATTTTCAGCTTTGCAGGCTTCTTAGGAGATTCTGATTCCATTTCCAGTAAGTGACATGATTTATAAAGTGGAAAAGTCATTAAAAACATGTAAGCCCCAACCTAAGGACTCATCCAGTGTGCTAACGATAGTCCTTGAAGAGCTCCAGGATTCGTTTATCACTTAATTGTACATGTTTACTTGCCTGCCACCATGCTCTATGGAATTCCAGATATTGCAGTGATAACTCAAAAGAAAATCTATCTTGCAGAGAGTTCATCTTTTAAAGGAATCGACATGAACTTAATTTGTGCTATGCATCTTGTATGCCACTGCTTTTCTTATAAGACCACTATGCTTCCAAGAATTATTATGAAAGTTGACAAAGCATGACAATCCCTGTCATTTCATGCTATTCCCTTATAATTGCCATAGTAAGGAAAGAAGGAAGAAACCTTACTTATAAAGATATATATAAATGCATATTATTCTAAACTGGGATTGCTCTGTCTTTCTTTTCCTTCTTGGTGATCTTTACTTTTGCAGGAATTCACCATTTTGGCTGTAAGTAAATGTGTCTGATCTGAAACATAATGTCCTCCCTTTTCAATCCTGCTGTACCTTCTTCTAGTCTCAGTCTCTTGCACCTTTTTTTTTTCCCCCAAGAAGAAACCACAGATCTTTTGAGCTTCTCTGTTGTCCTTGTAGCTCACCTTGAACTTCTTCCCGGATGTTGTTCCCGAAAGCTGTTGTTTCCATTCTGCAGTTCTGAGGAACCGTGGAGACATCTTTCCGTATAGCCCCTTCTTTGTGTTTCCAGGAAATCTTCGGTAGTAATACTCTTACTATGGTCGTAAACCTTCTGCGGGAAGAATGCATGTCATGTAAACAGTATTATGTTTCCAGAACGTCTGTAGCTTTTCTCCTGCTTCCTTCATCTTCCCTCTCGGTCTTCCCCTTGGCCTAGTGGATGGTGTAGTGATTATGTAGCGAGATTTTCTGTTGTGCTTGATCTAACCATGTGGTTGCCAGGTATGAGTAAAACATGGTTCCGTCAAGCACCATGGAACGTCACGCAGCTTTCTACAGCATGACAAGCTGCTGAGGCTTAAATCAGGATTTACTTGTCTCTTTTTATAAAATCCAAATAAAAAAAGAGGGCTTTTTAGGCATTTCTGAAGATTATGTGAGAGGGAGAGAATAATAAAAGTCCATAGAAAATTTTAAAACCTGAGTACATCTATTTGCCTTGAAAGCCCTGATTTAAAATGATATCTAGGACGATGTTTATTACTGGACACATTTTAAAATTCTCGACTCAGAGAAAAAAAATCAACTTTTTAACAACGAATAGCCATCGTGTGATAGGCTAGAATGGCTCATCACTGGATCAGCAGAAAGTACAGCTGTGAAAAGCTCAACTCTATGAATGTTTTCCTGTCCTGTGAATCTGGTTACTCTTTTTTCCAGCAAATTCCAAGCCCTTGTTTTAACCCTCTCCTGACATCCATTGACCAAAATTCCCCAAGTTGTCTCCCTGCTGCATAATCTATAGTTATCTTACTTTCTTCTTCCTACAAATTAACAACTATTCTAACCTTTCCACTCAGTATCCTTTCTTTTTTGACTTGAATCCTCAATAGGTACAGAAGATTATCGATCAAAATTAAGTGGGGACTGCTTTGCAGACTTGGCTTGCCCTGAAAAGTGCCGCTGTGAAGGGACCACTGTAGATTGCTCCAATCAAAAACTCACCAAGATCCCAGACCACATTCCCCAGTACACTGCAGAGCTGTAAGTTCAACTCCCGACAAAATCCCAGATGGGAGGGAGGGAATGGGAGCATCAGTAAGCACTGGAATTTTGCGCTGGAATTTTTGTCTTGGCCTTCCAGGCTCAATCATTGCATTAATCTTCATGAACACACATTGGCATAACTCTTCTTTGTGCAAAAATAGATTAGAGGCTATCATACTTCATCATTCTGGCCCAATATACAACCACAGATGTTAATTAGCTTCTCGAAGTTTGCATTAGCTCATAATACTGCTTAGGGAAGAACATTCACTTGACATGTATTTCTTGGGTGTTACTTAGACCCACGCCCATTTCTGAGGACTCAATAGATTTTTGAACATATTTCATCTTTATAACAATCAAATAAAGTAATTTAGGCATCACCATTTTGAATATATTTATTATGAATTCAACCAGAGGGTTCTTTTTGATCTGCTTTACTACTCATTGACTCACAGTTGGGTGGAAGGATTTCATGACTATCAGGCATGAAAGAACAGAGGGTAGTTTTTTTTTGTTGTTTGCTTGTTTGTTTGTTTGTTTGTTTTACTGAACAGCCTATAGCATAGAAGATAGTAGGAAAATTTGAAAAGGCAGACTGTGATTGCACCTGTATTCATAAGCCTACCACAGAGCCTCACACATAATAGGTGCTGTATTTGTTTGTTGAATTGTGTGTATGTGCTATGCTCTTATTTATAATCATAAGACATTTAATGTTGGGGTTCTAAAAATTCAAGGAAAACCTGGTGGAATCTTGTTTTCTGAACATCTTAGCCATGTTTTTGCATAGCACAATCTGGTGTTTGGCATTGACTGCTTTGTAAAGTTAGTTGTCTCTTGGTGCCTATGGAATCCTTTTATCTTCAACTAGGTGATATCCCCTTGATTACTGGGATCGTGTTTTACAGTTTATCTCCACTGTGCCTATACTCACGCCTGTCCTTGATGAATTTTAAGGAGTTTGGATGATTACAAATACTGTAATGCTTTCAAACAGATGGCCGAAGCTAACTACTCTATGGTTATAGTGATGTATTTTTATTTCAATTAATTCATGAATATTTCATAGCTCTAGTACTTTCAGAAATGTTTGGAGACCATGCAAGAAAAGCCCTGCACTCAAATTATATGATCTCGTAGGGAATAATGCTAGTTTCCAATAAGACTACAAATAATGCAAGTTATATCTTTTCAGTGTGATAATGCTTTAAATAGGCTTACTTGGCAATCAAGAATTTTATAAAAAAATATTGCCTAATTTATTCTTCAGTAGAGGTTTTGTGAGGATTTGAAGAAATTAAGAATTTATTATACATTTAAAAATCAGTACTGGGGAGAAAATACTTGCAAATCTTATATCTGCTAAGAAATTCATACTCAGAATGTGTAACAAACTCATATAACTCAACAATAAAAAATGTACATTACCCAATTGAAAAAACAGTCAAATTAATTGTATGGATGTGTCTCTGAAGGAGAACTGTGAGAAGCCACTTAGCACATGAAAAAAATACTCAACATCATTAAGGATTAGAGAAATGCATGAGGTAACACTTCTCAGTCACTTGAATGGCCATAAAAACAACAAAAAAAGGACAATGACAGGTGAGAGAAATTGCCCTCCTCATCCATTGCTGGGGAGAATGTAAAATGGCACAACCCTTGGAAATAATTTAGCTGCTGTTAGTGTGAGGGACAGATTTACCAAGCAAGTCCACACCTGTGGATCTCTACAAGACTTGAAAATAAATATCTACACCTACACTTGTACAGCCATGTTAATGGCAGCATTATTCATAATAATAAAAAGTAGAAGCAAACCCAACTCTGATGATGTTCAGAGTACTCAACTGATCAGTGCATAATTAAAATGTGGTATGTTCATGCAATGAACTTACCCCTCACAAAGAGGAATGAAGAACTGATGTTTGCTCAGCCTGGTTGAACCTTGTAAATATTATGCAAAGTCAAAAAAGCCAGACCCAAAAGACAGAGGTCATTTGTAGGATTCCCTTTACCTGTCAGTCCAGAATAAGATACTCCACAGAGATAGAAGTGAATTAATGCTGAACAAGGACTGGGCTGATGAGGGAGGGCCTGTGGGTACATTTGGGGTTTTGGGGTGAGGAATATGTTCTGAAAATTGACTACACAAATTTGGGAATAAACTAAAAGCCACCGAATTGTATACTTCAAAAGGACGTGCTTTAAGCCATGTGAGTTGTATTTCAATAAAGCTATTAATTAAATTATGAAGAAATTGATTAGGAGAAAATGGTCCAAGGCACCTCTGGTGGAGGGATATTAATTAAAAAAGTTTGAGGAAAATTTTTCTACAGAGTATTGAATTTTTGCTTTTTAACATACTTTGTTTTGTTTGGATCCTTTGAGCAAAATGGAACAATATAAGTACTTTCCACAAATTTCCTCTTATGTGTGTATCTTATATTTTCTTTAGGAAAATCATTAACATTCTGTATGAGGAATAAAATTAATTCCCTCCTCACTGTTGGTAATGACAATTTTTTCCCCCCCAGGCGTCTGAATAATAATGAATTCACAGTGTTGGAAGCTACAGGAATCTTCAAGAAACTTCCTCAGTTACGTAAAATGTAAGCCGTGCATTAGCCATCTTCTTAAATTCTTAGTGTTTTGTTGTATTTTTCCTATCCTTTGTGGTTTTACTTAGATTCCTTTGGAAATTAGAAAAGACACAGAGAATTTCCATACAGTGACATGAATTTAGGGTAATCTCTGAGAGGACCCTGATCCTCTCTTCTCCTAGTATGCCAGCCACGTCTCCTCACTGAGACAGCTGGTGTGATGTGGCCACAGCAGGAATCCGCCATCTAAGCACTTCAGAGACGGGCTCAGTAATGTTCTGTGACTTCCTTGACTGTTCCCCAAACCACACTGTTGTTTCTCTTTCAGCACATTCATGTCAACTCTTTGACTTTTTGCTTCATTAAACTTTCATTAGAAGATAGTCAAATGTAAAGATTGCTAAGCTGCCCTGGTAACTCAGCCGAGTTACTACATGTCCACAACTCATATTTTAAAATAAGTTTATAAGTTCAGCAGTTTCAACAACACTCAGTCATTCCTCCTTCCGCTGAGGAGGAAGGGCAGGGATGGGACAGAGGCCAAGGGGGAGAGCCAAGGAGCACCCTCCACATCTGAGGAGTGGCACTTTGCTCGTGGAGGCCCCTTTCATACTCAGTGGCTTCCAGTCACAGAACCACAAGCATCAGCGCAGACAGATTCACTTTGGCTCCGTGTTATAGCTGCTTGTAGCTGCTCCCAAAGACCTGACTTCTTCACTGTCCCCCTTTTTCACCGACTGTTCTTTCTTTTAGCTATAAAATGCCTTTCAACTCAATGCATATTTATTAACCAGCAACTATATAGTCAGTGTTCTGAGAGGAATTCAAATGATATATAAAAATGATTCTAGTTAGGAGGTGTTCCTAGCCTTGCAGCAAGCAATGAGGAACGAGAAAAAAATGTACAAAAATGTGTTCCCTACACTGGGTCCTCTGGTGCTTGGGGCAAGTGCTGTGATGTTTTCATATCAGGCAAAATACTGACAGTTTAGTTGGTTGTGTGGGCTCATGAGTTCTTGAGAAGTTACCAGTAATCTTCCAGCAGGACCTCTCTGTATCTCCAGATACCTTTCTGATGCTGTTTAATGTTGACACACTTTGTCCGTCTTTCTCTCATGCAATTGCCTTCTTTTAGTTTCTACTCCTTTCCACGGTTTTTATTTATTTATTTTTTTGTGGGACCCTCCCCGGCGGCCCAGGAACGAACCGGCGCTGCAGAGGCTGCGGACAGCCTCTCAGCCCAGCGCTCAACCGCTGCGCCACCAGGCCAGGCCAGGCCCCTTTCCACGGTTTTAATCAGGACTGTTTCTTCTTAATCAGTTTTGTGGCAGACATAAAGGCTCACACAACTCACTACCTGACCTCAAGAATGTTATACTTATCCCTGGGCCATCTCGGTACTGATTGTGCTGGTGTTTTTCCCCCATAAATGTCCCCTTAGTGGTGTCACTACTTTGGTTTGATGAGATAGGAAGGGGGTGTGTTTTCAGAGTCTTGGGAATGCTGGGTGATGAAGAGCTTGGAGAATGTGGAAGGCTTTGTTCAGTAGAAGAAAATGCTCAAGCATATTGTCTCCTTGTCCTCATTGTTAGAAAGACATTGCTCAAAATCTTGGCTTCGACCATTTTTATTTAGAAACTTTAGCAACAATAAAATCACAGACATCGAAGAGGGAGCATTTGAAGGAGCATCCGGTGTTAATGAAATTCTCCTCACGAGTAATCGCCTGGAAAATGTTCAGCATAAGATGTTCAAGGGATTGGAAAGCCTCAAAACTTTGTAAGTATGATCTGGATTGTGATTTCTCTACCACAGAGTTGTAGGCATAACTGTAGAAGGACAGAGAGAGAGCCTGCTTTCATTGTCACACCTCTCTCTCGCTCTCTCATGTGCGCACACACACACATTTTATGGATGCAAATTGTTCCTTAATACCCCTGACTTCAGTATGCCTCTTACAAGTGATCCAGAGTCTCTTCTGGCTGCTGCTTCCTCAGTGAAAAACTCCATCCTTCCTCTACATCTTGCAGAGATCTAGCTCCACTCTCTTCTCAGAGTTATCATGCTCTCCTTTTCTTCAAATGCCTCCATCTAGCATAAATTCAGCATCTGCTCTAACTGCCCTGGCAGAATCCCAGCTGATCAGGATATTGCCTGTGTCTACCCCTGCAAGGTCTTAGTGAAAATAAATAGAGACATGCTGGTGACAGAGCTTTTTACTATGTATTTCAAGTATATGCAAATATATATGTATGCCAAATTATGTCTACTTGCAGAGGGCTGGAGGGGTTGGGGGAAAAAAATCCTCTGTTTTTCCAAAACACTGGTTGTTGACCCAGGGAGATGAGGATTGGTTTAAACAGGAGGATAGCACTTTGAGTTACTTCAGTTTTCTGCAGAATATTTATGTAGATTTTATTATCTCTAAAGTCTGCAATTACGTAATTCACAAAAGTGGTGGTTTGAAGCTTGGAAGAGAGGCAAACCAAAGAATCTTTGGAAGCCATGAAGGAAACTGTGTGTAACTGAGAAACAGCCCTTGGTGAGGGCAGTGGAGCAATGCCCTTACCCCACCCCATAAGCCCTGAGGCTTGCACCTGGGTCACTAATGGCCCAGAAGCCCATCAGTTTACAACAGCCCATGCTATTTTTCAGATGCAGAAGGGAAGGGCACTTCCCCAGCCAGTGGGAGGTGCTAAAGCATCAAAAATTCAAATCCTGGGCCTCCCTGGTGGCATAGGGGTTAAGTCTTAGCGCTATCACTGCTGAGGCGGGAGTTCGATCCCTGGCCAGGAAGCTGACCCACATGGCACAGCAGACTTCTGTCTCACCTGCTGCTCCCCTCAACAGTGTATTTCAGTGGATCTGCCTCTTCTGCTCCCCACTCTGTCTCTAGTGAATCCTCTCAACCCCACCCCCTGGAGATACCCCAGTTCTTCTATGCAAAAATAAATAAATCTTTAAAAAAAGTTCAAATCCTGCTGAACAAGCCTCACAGACACATGAAATGTGCTCCTTTAGCATCCAGGGATAGGCTGAAATCAAACCACTGAATCTTCCAGCAGGACCAGCCTGCTACCTGCTGACCCTTCCAAGGGGCCTTTGATCTGTTGTATAAATACTGAGGAGCAAGCGGAGAAGGCAAGAACACACACTGCAGGGGGCTGCATGTCCCTGAGTGCTCTGGGCCCCGCCCCCAGATCATCGCAGGAGACCCCCAAAACATAGATCCTGCTGCAGGCACAAGTCTCCCCTCTTATAGGGCAGCTGGGGGACTCCTGGTTACTGGAAACTTTTGAAGGGGTTGTTGGGGAGTGAACTGGGGGAGGAGAACCTGTACCTCCATTTCTATTAGTCTGCCTTGGCCACCACTACAAGTAACCAGAGACCAGATGACATAAACAACAGATACTTGTTTTCTCACAGTTCAAAAGCTTAGACGTCCCAGATCACAGTGCAGAGAGAACGTCCAGGGAGGCTCTTTGCTAGGCTCACAGTTAGCCACCTTCTCATTATGACCTTGTCTAACCTCTCCTCTGTGCATGTGTGAGGGAGAGAGACCGAAGGGGGCGGGAGAGAGAGAGCGCTCAAGAGACTCTTCCTCTTCTTATGAGGACTCAGGTGCTACCAATTAAGGGCCCACCCACAAGACCTCATTTAACCCTAATTACCTCCCTGAAGACCCTATCTCCAAATATGGTTACCCCACTGGGTGTTAGGGTTTTTAGGTTGGAATTTCAGCAGGATGCAGTTCAGCCTCTGACACACCCCAAGGTGGTCTCCTCTGCCAGGCTCCCTTCACAGGGCTCTGCCTGAGACAAGCTCTACTTTCACTTTCTCCATTATATTTCTTCTGATGACTTTGTGCTCATGTGTTTTAGACACCCACCCAAGCACGGTCCTGCCCCTGAATCCCACTTGCCGGAACAAGCAGTATAGAGTGTTTAAAACCAAGCTCCACTTTCCAAAGACCCATAGTAGGTTCACCAGGACATATCAGTTCCTGTCAGCGTATCCTTCAGCTTAGAGTTGTAAAGGTTCTGACAAGACACCCAAGCCCTAGACTTTTTAATGCTTTAGGACAAATAATCCTCTTCCTGGTACTTGTACGTATTTGGATGAGTCTTTGGCCCCCCAGTGTTACAGGCAAAATAAAGTACGTATGTGTGCTTATGGGTTTTTCCAGAAACAGAAAGCAAAGATTTCTTCAACTCCTCCCAGGGTCTGTGACTCTAACATGAAGCCCCAGCACTCTTTATTATTGATGGTAAAGCATAGGGTGGATGGACACGCTTTGGTGGATGGACAGCAGCTTTGCTGCTGCACTTTTGTTTCCTAAGATAAAAGGATGCCTTGATAAGGAGGGCAACATCGTTTCTTCTTATCTGGGACTTAGCAAAATACAAAAGCTGATATATCTTATTTACTACAGCGCAGTATAGGAACTTAAGGGAAATCTCTATTAATGTATTTTGGGGTGTCTTTCACATACTGCTTTCCTTGTCTGGAAAAACTAAGGTCAATCAGCAGACTTTTCAGCAATTCTGAATAAGATTTATGGCTACTATTCATTTTTATATGGGCTTTAGAAGCTTTGGGCTCCTTTACTAAGCCCCAGAAACAAACATTTCAGCAAAGTTTGAACTGAGAGTGGAGCCAAAACTTTAGCAGTGATGCTGAGGAAATGACAACAGTGTTAATCCCATTCTGACAGGGACCGAAAAAATAGGGTCAGAACGTTTGCAAGATAAACCTGTTTAAATTTCTTGGGAAACAACTGGAACCTGTTAGCTCATGCCTCCTTTTAGGGTCTCAGCATCGAACAATGAAATAGTTTTCGTAGATAATTTGTGCAAACTTTGTGGATGCTCAGTTAAGTTTGCTCCCCTGGCTCACACTGACACAGACTCTTGGGTGTATATCCTGAGGATACCCTCATTATTTATCTCCTGTGGGTATTGATTCTTTCCTACTTCTTTTCCATTCAACCTCAGATGTAAAGCTACTGTAAATACACAAATGACAGGGCCTCAAGGGCTTGGAGAGCTGTAGGGGAATTAGGACATTACATAATCACACACACACAAATACAGCATCAACTGAAAACATTCTGCCCCCACAGGTGGGATTGAAGGCCATGCTGAGGCTCACAGTGCTTTCTGTAACTGAGTGTCATCATTGGCAACTCTGAATGTATTATGCTCGCACAAGAGTCTGTGTGTGTCCACAGCAATTGCCAGTGACAAGAGAACATTCTGAGAACAGTAATGAATGCTACATGTTTACAAAGAGAGGTTATTTTGGTCCTCAGGTAAGCAAAATGGATTGCCTGATGCTTTATCTTCATAACAATGTTCTCTTTTTCCCCCTAGGATGTTGAGAAGTAATCGCATAAGCTGTGTAGGGAATGACAGTTTCATAGGACTCAGTTCTGTGCGTCTGCTTTCTTTATATGATAATCAAATTACTACGATTGCACCAGGGGCGTTTGATACTCTCCATTCTTTATCTACTCTGTAAGTATGAAACATAGTCTGCATGTGTGCATTCCAGCCAGTGTATTATATTTATTGCTTCTGGTGATAGCATTTAATGCATTATTAGGCATATCACAAAAAATGTGCTCAAACGTTGGACGTAGGCCTGGTGTGATAGCATACATTTATAGAGTTGTGCATGCCCTTGTTGTAAAACAGCGTTGTAAACCAATATTACCTCTATAAACATAGTAAAAAATACTATTTAATTTATCAAAGTGATCAAGAACTTATGTATCAGGACCATGTTTTCATGTTTAACTTAATATTATTTTTCTAAAAATGTTGCCATTTATATTAAAATTGAACAAAAATTATATATCCTTCCATCAACTCTTTCTTAATAATATGATACAGCCTGATTTCTAAATGTTAATCTTATTTTAACATGATTGTGCTGCAAATACAGGAAATGCAGATTTTCCCCGGTGGTCTCTCATGCGTATCCTTTCAATATAAGTATCTTAAACAACAGAGTTGATATGGGACATTGCTTCTGATTGGGCTCGAAAGCATCATTCGTAATGACAGGAGATACATTAGGACAGCCAGACCAACAATAAAAGCTGTTCACTAGCAGTTATTATTTAGGAAAATATTGAACAAATACATTGAGATTGTCGACAAGACTATTTTATGTAGACAGTTTGAGAAAAAAAAGATATTTATAGGTCTATAGACAGAACTCAGAAAGCATAAAAGGAAAAAAACACCTCGGAACAATGCATTTCATATCTGTTGTATGTCAGTATTGAAAAAGCAGTGTTTGAAATTATGTATCTTATCACTGATAAGATTTCCCAGTAATGGCGGCATCGAAATATACTCATCTACCTCAAAAGGTACTTAGAGAAGAAAAAACCTGCATTAAACATAGCTCAAGTCACTGAAGAAATAATGTGAGGGAACCATCTATCCATCAGCAAAGTACTTAATCCTCTTTCCCCATAAAATGTGACATTTTACATGGAGTGACTAATTTGTGCATATTAAAGATGGCATGTTTATAAATAATGGGATTGTCAATAGGTTTGTGCTGAAGTAGTCAGATGCCAAAAGTATTGAGATTTGGAGAAGTAAATTCATTTTTATAACTGGCATTTAATCAACTCAGCTGTCAGTTTAGATGGGAAACCTATTCTCTGGAGCAAATAAGAGATGGAAATCTTGAAATGACAAATTAATGAAATAGCTGTTGTCAGGTTAAACTCAATAATATAAGGTAATCAGCCTTCATCTTTATATTAAATTACTGCATTATCATTGTGGGGAAGTTTGACAGCAAGTCAGATCTCTGACATGTTTAAATTATCTCTAAATGAGATACCTATCAGGATCCACCATCTAAACCCTAAATTGCTGCCTTCAGTTCATTTTTCCTCAAGACCTTATTTGCAGAGTTCTTAAATGAAAGTGTTGTTGTTAATTTTTAAGCTCCAAAGAAATATTTTAGCCAAAAAATGCGGCCCATCTGTTATGTGTGATTGAGTATGAGGGGGTGAGATGCAAAAAATGAGAAGGAATCCTCCCGACCGCCATGGTGGGGCTTTGAGACGTAAGAAAGTGAAACTCTAAACTCAACCATGCCTTGTTTCTGTGCCCCTCTCAGAAATCTCCTGGCCAATCCTTTTAACTGTAACTGTTACCTGGCGTGGTTGGGAGAATGGCTGAGGAAGAAAAGAATTGTCACCGGAAACCCTCGATGTCAGAAGCCATACTTCCTCAAAGAAATCCCCATCCAGGACGTGGCCATTCAGGACTTCACATGTGACGATGGTAAGGAAATCGGGCCAAATCCTCCGTCGCCAGCGTCCACGTGACTTCCCTCCTGGATAGCATCCTGTGTGCGTGCTGCAGACCCCAGCTGGCAATGGGGTATCTCTGGCTCTGTGTCCTGCTTTTGCATTGTTTCCGCCCGGGACCTGGCACCCGTGCTTTCTCAGACTGCACTTCTCCATCCCTGTCCAGTTGTGTCTCTGTGGGTTTCAGAAGATATTCCAGTTTCCAGCTGGTGGTGGATACTATTTACAGAGCTTCTATGGAACTTTTCTAACATATGATCCTAAGCATCCCTTTTAGGAATTATCATTTTCAAATGAGGAAATGAATTGCATTATAAAATAGAAGTTCTGATACATCTACTAAAGTAGTAGTTTTCAGTTCTCAGCGTTCTCTATGTAGATCGTCACATTTGATTCTCATAAAAACTTGGAAGTCAGGAGAACAGGTTCTATTTCTGTTGTCAGCAAAATAGAGTTCTTATTTGAACTTTGTATTTTAAAATGAGACACCCAAAGAATTTTGCTTTCAGTTTCAAATTAATCAGTGTCTCTTCATGTTTGTCTCCATATAATTTTCTTCAGAATTCAGTATAATTTGTATAAATTACTGAACAAAAAAAAAAAACAATTATACTCATATTGACAATCCAAATTGTAAATTATATTCTGGAGCTCTGCCCGAGCCAGTCTGAAAACAGTTCGAAACAGAAGGTATAGTGTCAGTTTATAACTACACAAAGGCCTGTACCTGGAACCATGATAACACAAGATTCTTGTATCCCTTAAACTAAAGGAACATGATTCTTTCTAGCATCTTCAAAGCCACCAATCTGGATTTTCCTGTTTTTCTTTTGGTCATTTAGGAAATGATGACAACAGCTGTTCCCCGCTCTCCCGCTGTCCTACCGAATGTACCTGCTTGGACACCGTCGTCCGATGTAGCAACAAGGGCTTGAAGGTCTTGCCCAAAGGCATTCCAAGAGATGTCACCGAGTTGTAAGTAGAGCTGTTTTTCCCCTTTCCTTAGACATTAATCTTTCATACACCCAGGGAAATGGAGACCGGGCAAAAATCTTTAGAGTCCTATTTGCAAACCGCATTCTAGGAGCGCTAATTAGTATCATGGAAAACCCTAAACAAATACTATAAAAGCTTGCTCAGATGCTCTTGGGAAATGCTGGCTGAGTGTTTCTCTTTTCTTCACTGTAGGATTTCTCAGTGCCTTTGTTATCCTAAGGTGTACGGTGAGCTTCCAGGAGAGGACAGTAAAATAGAAGACAGCTCCCATGCCTGCTTGTCCCAATAGCCCTTTTCTCACAGAGCGCTTTGCAAGATTAATGTTGCATTGAATGCACCTTGGGAAATGCTGTATTTTAGTTTATCTACTGCATCTGGGATATTCCATATGGTTAATTATTCTTTCCCACTATGTCCCCTGGGAGAAGAGCTCACCACCTGGAAGACATAAATATCTGAGATGTGGAAGAAGCTGGCATAATCCTTACCCCTAAAAAGAGCTACTGCCCTTTGGATTGGAATCAGAGTCCTTTAGATCATAAAGGATGTGGGGCTAATTTTTCCTAACATTTTCATAGCTGACATTTAACCACAAATTACATGGTTGACATACCATATCTAGATCCTAACCCTACCCACACCTCCTTAGCTGCCTCATGCTTTATATGGAATATAAATCAAAGTACAAACTGATTGAATGTGGTGCATACATGCTTCCTTCCAGGCCTTTATCCGTACACTAATCAGCATATACAGATGCTTATTGGAAGGCAGCTGAGTCATTCTGCCTCCATTTATTTTTGTCTATATGGAACTATGTATCGAGAGTGATTTAAGTACAAATGTAATGGGTGCAGATGGATCTAAATGTTCCAAATGAGCAAAGTGCGGCATCATGAGGTTTAAGATGTCATTTCAGTTTTCAAAGAACTTATTTTCAAATTATGTGCACTTCTGTAATTCCTAATCCTGCATTCAGCACAGAGAAAGTTGGTATGATTTTTAGATTTGAATTGTTGTAAAGAGTTCAGTTTCTCTTGCTGCCACTGGAGCTGTAAATTAGTTATCAGTACCGGTATGTGTGTGTGTGTAATTCAATATTTAATTCTTATTTTAATGTGTATTTATGTCAGAAAATTACCCTCCATCCTGCTGGGTACCTATAGATTATTCTATAAGCAGAACATTGACTCTACAAAAACCCCACCTAAGACTCTAAAACTTTTGAGATCATCCCTGATTCTAAATTGGTTCTGTGATTTTGACTGACCCTCATTTTAGTTTGTTTTGTTTAGTTTTTACCTAATTCCCGCCAGCTGATTTTAAACGTTCTTTAATTTTCCTATTAAATGACATATGAAAACCTGCTTAATTCATGTCCTGTCTCTGCTGTCTATTTCTTTTATCAGATTCTAATCTCCAATCTATTCCTCTACAAATTACTAAAACAGTATTTTCGTTTCTAAAGACAGTGTTACAGAGATCAGAAAAAAAAAAAAATTAACTATCTCTGGTGAGTTCTAGTTTTACCTCCCCAACAGCTTATTCTTAGACCCCATACCAAGTTGGCAGGATCCTTCTCTACAGTAACACATGTGCATGTATTAGAAAAATTTGTGTGCATATTACATTAAATTATTAAAGAATTTGGCAAAAATATGTATGTATTGGTGAGCAATTTTGAACAAATGGTTCCCATTACTTTTAATCAGTTCCATATAATTTCCCTGTTAGATTGTTTTGCGTGTAAACACCCATAGCCTGCATTCTGCATCTCTTTAGTGTTGTTATATTCTCTGGCATAAAGGGGATGCGCTGAAGTAGATAGGATTATGCTGCCCTCTACTGGTACCAGAAACTTAGCTTGCGAAAAGAAAGGGAGAGTTGAAATAAGTCAGAAAATTTGAGTACGCTTAAGGAGTCGTAACATATACATGGTAAACAAATATTTTTCACATATTTTGATCACTTGTTCCTTTTGGATAACCATTTCCATCTTGAAATATTTGCGGTAAATTGGTATCTTAAGCAATGTGTCAGCTATTCTACATTTAGCAAAAATACTCATTGCAACCTCACATCTAGAGATCGACCACCACGTAGGGGTAGGAGGGACCAGGTGCTTCGTGGGCACATCTGTAGCCAGATGAGCCAAATCACTGAAAGACCTCATTACTCTTCATCATCGGTGTCTGTAAAGAGCAGATTGAGAAGAGATGGATTTTTCTTTTTATAATATTATGGGTATAACAGGAAAGCATCCTTTAGTTTTATGTCTTTCTAGTTAGCCCAAAGTCTATTTGTTTTCTGATTATTCTGCTACTGTAATTAGAAAGGAAAATTTTGCTTGTAGATGGTTAGTTGATTATTACTTTTACATATTTGTGCGATCGTGGTGCAGGTGGTAAATGTTAGGGTTTTCTATGAAACTGCTTAAAGTTACTTGCACCAAGAAGATGGATTGTGGTAAAACTACTCTTAAGGTATTCTAACTTCAATCTATTTATGCTCAAATCCCAAAATATCTCTTTCAAACTATCCATTGTTGTTTATGTCTTTTGATACATATTAAGGCAGAAAGAGTGGTCTTGCCCTCAGAAATAAGGTTCTGAAGATAGTGAATGCAAAATGATGGTGTCTCATATAAACACATCTGAAGTGGTGACTGATTAAAAAATGTGTCTGATTGAATGGACTTTCTTACCGACACACAACTGGTTGGATACATGTCTCATCTACTAGATAAACAGCAAAGAGCTGAACACGCCAGCCTTTCTGTGGGTTTATAATTTGATCTTACTGATCCACAAAAGAATTCACTGGATTGGGATCACTCTGCTTTTTCTTTTCTTTTTTCTTTTAAATAATGATCCCAGGGAGGGATACAACATCTTTTTAAAATTAATTTATGTATGGGTCTCCCCTGGTGGCGCAGGCGGTTGAGCACAGTGCTGTGAAGCTGTCTGCAGCCTCTGCAGTGCTGGTTCGATCCCAGCCAGCTGGCAAGAATCCCACATGGCGCAGCAGACCTCACCTGTCTCGCCCACTTCTCCCCTCAACAGTGTGTTTTCGTCAGTCTGCCTCTTCTGTTCCCTGCTCTGTCTCTGGTGAATCCTCTCACCCTCCCGCGCATTTGGCCTGTACCCTGGTTCTTGTATGCATAAATAAATAAATCTTAAAAAATTAATTTATGATTAACTAAGGTAACAGTGGCATACCCCCATAAGGTAGGGACATAACATCTTAAAGCAAAAATTGCTAAGTGTTTCTTTGTCTCAATTCAAAGTAAAATATTGTCAGTACTTTTATGGTGCACCAGTTTGGTTACTTTTAGAAAAATAATCTTTTTTTCTTATCTTTAGGTATCTGGATGGGAATCAGTTCACACTGGTTCCCAAGGACCTCTCTAACTACAAACACTTAACACTTATGTAAGTAATGTAATTTTGCATCTTTGCCTTATTCTGTTTCATGAAAATGGGGGAGAGCAGGGGGCAGAAGATTTAGTGTACCTTTCAGATAATATAAATCATTTACAGTGAGAGGCTTCTCTCCTTGCTGGTTGCTGTTCTGGATCACCAGCTACATCTTCATTGAATATAAATTAGACCGTGGTGCAGCTTGGGGAATGATCCGCCTCTATTTCTGTTCCAAGTACAAATACGATCAAGCCTAAGCATCAAAGAACTATAAAAATGCAGTGAATTTGGATCTCTTACTGATCATGAAAATGGGCTATTTTATGACCACCCAAGGAAAAACAATACAGAAAATAATCTTTTATTCTTAAGCCAAAGATGGTAGATGGTAATAACTGTTCTGAATGTATATGATAAATCTAGTTTATTAGGATTGATTCCCTTATCTAATACTTTATGAATTAAGTTATGGACTTCCAGTATGAAAAATTATTTTATAAAATCCGTATTTATGTATACAATATTTGAGTAAATGACAAAGATGCTGACATTTTGAGTATAAATTTCCCAACATTGATTTTTTTTTTCAGTTTGGTTTGCTGTCCTAAGATAACATCTCTTTTTTCCTTAAAACAAATAAGGTTTCACTGCCCTCAGGTTGTGAATACAATATTATACTTAAATATATGAACATTTCAATCTAGTTGTGTACACAATCTATTTTTTTAAACATTATTATATATAATATCACATTTAGAATTGCCTTGTTGATAATTAATTAAGCTTCTTACAACACAGAAAAATCAGTGATCGTGTATGAAAAGAGAAAATAGCTTTAAGTTTATCTGATTCTAGACTAAATATGGCTGGTTTGGGAGGCAGATTTGTGCTACTCCTAGAATAAGAAGTCTTGTTCCTAATTAGTGAATTCGAGAAACTGGTAGCAGAAAATGTCACATTTATCACATTTCTGGGCATATTGAGGTTAGTCAGAATGCTGTAGATCAATTCCAGTATTCTTTAAAATCATGGGCAGGTCCAACACTTTGTAGCAAGTATCTAGGACTGTTTAAAGGACAAATGATTGAATTAAGAACATGAGACTATCGCCTAAGATGTCTTACTCTGCCTCTCTATGGTAGCAGCTAGAACTGATGATGTACATTTTTTAACAGATTTATTTATTTATTCATACAAGAACTGGGGTGTAGGCCAGAGATGCGGTGGGTGAGAGGATTCACCAGAGACAGAGTGGGGAGTAGAACAGGCAGATCTACTGAAGCACACTGCTGAGAGGAGCAGCGGGTGGGACAGGAAAGGTCTGCTGTGCCATGTGGGTTACCTTCCTGGCCAGCCAGGGATCGAACTCATGCTGTAGTGGCTGGTGATAGCTTGATAGTGCTGAGACTTAACCCCTTGCACCACCAGAGAGGCCCCTGATGATGTACATTTTGTTCTGTTAAGTAAACCATTAAATTGCTGCAATTTCCAAAGGGTCACATCAACAGAAGTGGGTCATTTATGGACAGCATAAGTTTGAATGTATATCAATGAGCATCAGTACCAATGAAGATAAAATAACTTTCAAAAGTAAAGGACTTTTTTCTTATCCATAAAAGTGTATCTGCTGTGAATGGCCCTCACATGCCTTTGCTCTGGCACCGGCGCACAGCTGAACCGCTGGGGAATGTCAAGTCCGCAGAAGACAGAAAAGAGGGACATGGGGGAGTGGAGAGATAAGGGGGTGCACAGGGATATGGGGGGAACACAGCAATATCAGAGGTACCCTTTCTCTAATGCTACTCAGAGGTGAACCCGTGCTGGTGCTCACACTTCATGGCCAGTTCAGGGCACCCAGCCCCTTCTCATTTCAGCAGGCCAGTGTACACATCATGAGTCACACTGCAGACCGTCCCGGGGACTCCCACGCCCCGTTGTGTCAGGTGACAGCTGAGCTCCAGCAGTGCTGTAGGATCCGCTCCAAGAAGAGCCTCCTTGCCAGGAGTCTCATCTCGCCCTTTCTGTTTCTCTTGCAGAGACTTAAGTAACAACCGAATCAGCACCCTGTCTAACCAGAGCTTCAGCAACATGACTCAGCTCCTCACCTTGTGAGTGTGGGCGTGCGGGATGCTGGATGAGTTCAGTGGACAGAAGGCCTGTCCGAGCGCTGGCTTTCCCGGAACAAGACAGATGGTTTCTGCTCTCCGGGAATGCGGTCGCTGTTGGGAGGAACAGTCGAGTCAAACTTGTATAAGCAAATACAGATGTTACAAGAAGTGTCAGGTTCTAGGAAAAACAGAATAGTCAGCCTGAGCGATGGGTTTGGGAGAGAGTCTTCAGAAAGGCTTGGGGGGCAGGCGGCCTCTTCTGGGGGGCTTCGTTGAAGCATCAGCTTCAGGCAGAAGCAGGCGGTGTGCCAGGCTGTCTGGGGAATAAATACTGATGTGTGGCCTTAGTGAGTTAAGTAAGAAAAGATCAGAGATGTATATAAAATGTGTCAATATGCCTAATTTGGGAGATACCAAAATAACCCTTTTCTTGACTGCTTTGTTTTTTATCCCCACTGGGGAAAACCTGAGTAAAACGAATGGGCTTATGTGTGCTTTCAGAATTCTTAGTTACAACCGGCTGCGCTGTATTCCTTCTCGAACCTTCGACGGTTTGAAGTCTCTTCGATTACTGTAAGCATCATGTGTTCGATGAAAGGACCCTTTTTCGGGGATCTCCTCATTGGATTGGATTGTCTTTTTAAAGATCTGATTTCTTTGTTGACTTTGAGTAGTTTACCATCTATACTTTAGGATTCACCACAAGCTGCAAAGGAGGAAAATCACACTTTATCATTGCTCAGTAGTTTTGGTTTGGACAACATCTGTAATATTGTCTTTGGAGAACGTATAATACTGCATGTATGTTGTGTATAGGTCCAATGCATTTTTGAAGAATAGAGAACATTTCAACCTCTTTACAATACATAGTACATGCATGCAATCTTTACTATAAAATGTATTCTAAAGTATCTAAAATATAATCCTTAATCCCAATCCTCTGCCCTCATATTAACAGTATAATGTCCTCTTCTATGTGCTTTTGTTTTTATATAGTGATATATGCGTGCCACTGGCTGTATTAGTTTTAAAAACCACAAGTTGCATTTGTTCTAGTCCTGCATTGGCTAACTTGATTTTAACAATATACTTTAGAGTTTTTCCATTTCATCATGTATCATATCCATGGCTTCAGAGATAGAATTTCCATCAGGTGAAGAAACTGTAAGTGGTTTCATCTGATGATCCTTATTTTACTCTCACCCAGTTTAATCCACCTCTGCACTATCCCATAAGTACTTGTGTGCATCTTCTCCATGTTCATCTCAGTGTACTTGTGCTAAGTCAACAGTGATTTGCACGGGGAGGTTGGGATCAGGCACGTTGGTGAAAACCAAAAGCAACCATCCAGCTGTCCCCCAAACAACCTGTGCTCAATTTACAAATTTATTTTTCCACCAGCTGTTTAATAGGGCCCCCATTTCAAAGCGCACTAGCAAATACTGAGTATTATTAATCTTTCCATTTTTGACATAGGACACATTGGACATTATTTTCCATTCTTGTTTTAATTTGCTGGAGCATTTGTGTTTCTTTTCTCTGAGCCTGATGCTATCATTCCCATTGGGGGGGTGGTTACTTTGTCATTTCCTTATTAACATGGATGTTATTATGTGTCTGCAAGCTGACTCTTAAGTTTGCAGGTCTTTTTAAAAAGAAATTAATCCTTGTATTCTATGTGGCAAATATTTCCCATTATCTGTCTGATAGGGAATATTTTATATTAGAGATGTATTTTATGTTGCCAAAATTTATCTTTTTCATCATGGTTTCTGAGTTTTAGGTAATGCTTTCCAATGCTCTTTATATATAAAGAGGAGTTCTTCTAGATTTCCTTTAATACATTTTACTCTTATTTTTACTTTTAACTCTTCCATCTAGAATTTATTTTATGCATATGATGTGAGGTAGGTACGAACTTTTTGTTTTCTTAAATCGAAACCCAGTTGTACCAATTGTTTTTATTGAATAGATCATCTTTTCTGCACTGACTTTAAATGTCTATTATAGTCTCACACATGCTGGACATTTTTGGTGAATGCTCCAAGATATAAAAGGTTTCATTTTTCTTTTTTTTTTCTTTTAGTTCCTTGCATGGAAATGACATTTCTGCTGTGCCTGATGGTGCATTTAATGATCTTTCTGCATTATCACACCTGTGAGTACCTTGCTCATGAATATGGGTGTAGGGTCAAACACCCTGGCACGTGAATTTGGAACAAATAGTCCTCTCTCACACCTTTATTATAACTTCATTCAATGTGATCTATTCCATCTTTAATGAAAATCTAAAGTTTCCTAGATACAATAACTTCTACAAGACAGCTTTAATTTACCCTTCCGACCTGTAGTCCTCTGAGTTGAGTTCTTTTTGCTTAGCTAAAAGTGTCCTTTCTTATAGACATGGATTTTCAATTTCCTAGTCTATATCTTTTCTCTTATTGTTCTCTGATTCTAGAAATCTGCTCACCTTTAATTCAGTCTGTCCAGACATTTCTTGTCCAACTCACATTCCAGATGTTACCTGCTCCACGAAGCCTATCTTGATTTTCTCCAGCTAATTCATTTATTTAGCAGATATTTCTCAGTGTGGCAGTATGTCAGGATAAATTAGACAGGGGCAAGACTTTATAACATGGATGAAGAATGTAGCCTGGGCTCATTGGATGAAGTTTCCGTTTACATTCTTTCTCATAATGACTTATTTGAACCTCCACAATTTCTAGAAATCTCGTTAAACGATTTCAAAATATGTAATAAATGGGATCTAACAGTAATATTAAGACATTGGCAAACCTGCAAGTTCAGGTAACAGCCATAGAATCCAGTCTTCCCAGCCAAGCTGAAGTTGGCACCACCTAGTGGCAAGAATCTGCTTCAGCGTAAACATCCCTCTCAGTTGACTTCTAGTTCCCCAGAAGTTGCCTGCTGTTTTCTCTCCTGGCTTTGCCCTCTCTGCAAAATTCACCAAACCCAAGTTTGGAAGAACCTGCATCTCCAGGAGAAGTAAGGACTGTCAGTAGAGATGAGATCAAATGTCTCAAAAACACCTTTTTGCTTATTTTTAATTTAGAGGAAGGGTTTGAATCCGATATACATATGAGACTACTATATGGCTTACGTCAATTTCTGGCTATATCTGAGCATCATCAAGTAGAAAGTATCATGGTTTTACAAGCATACTGTTGGCGAGGAGGGTTCTAACAAATAATAAGGTTAATTTTGTTTAGACTCCAGACACAGAAATGTCATTCTTCTGGAGTTCATGATAAATCAGAACTAATCAGCTTTTAAATGCTACCTTATGCATCTACTACTTATGACCTGGCCTCAGTTTCCTAATCTGTAACATGGGTTTGTAGTAATAGGGATATAACCTTTCACAGAGTTGCTATTTAGGATAAAATGAGATTTTTCACGTCAGTAGCTTAGCACAGTTCTGTCAGACAGTAATGATGCAATAAATGTTAGCTATTATGTTGATTATATTTACTGTCGTTACTATTGCTCATGTGAGTAGGAGTCAAAATTCTGAAATGAAAGGCTTTGTAGAGGGACAATGAAGGGCCAGGTCGCTCTGGCGAACCAGCTTTGCCTCTTTATTGTTTATGTCCTTTTTCATCTTCCTCTCTTTGTTCTTGTACACACTGAGACTTTGTTCCTTTATCCTGAATCATCCACCACAACCTTTTCTACCCAACTGAAACTAATTAGCTAAAAGCATTAACTTGATTAACCATCAGTCCCCAGAAATGTTACCCTCTCTTCGTAGTCATCCTGTAAATACTTTCCAACTACACTTACAGTGAAAATTACTCACGTGTATGAAAATATGGTAATCCCTTGGCAGAAAAGAGTTCTTTGGAGTTAACAGAAATGTGGTCTTCACGTTTGGATCTGCAGGATCTGGCTTAGTGAACTTACTAAGTAATTGGTGCAAGAAGGAAGGAGACCTTCAAAAGTCCAGATAGGCATGAACATTAGTGGCAACGCACTAGATCTCAGCTGAAATAATTTAGGTGAATGGGGACTGAACAGTATAGTATCTCCATGCTCTTCTGAATTGGCGTTGTCAATAAATCCACAGAGATTTTATCTGGGGCATCGCTTTGAGTTACATTTCCTGGGAAATAACAACATTCCATACCATGTGTGCTTTTGTGGTGGTATTTTTCAGAGCTATTGGAGCCAACCCACTCTACTGTGACTGTAACATGCAGTGGCTGTCCGACTGGGTCAAGTCGGAATATAAAGAGCCGGGGATCGCTCGCTGTGCTGGGCCTGGAGAAATGGCAGATAAGCTGTTACTCACCACTCCCTCCAAAAAGTTTACCTGTCAAGGTAAGGCTTGGAATCATTTCTACATCTGTATACAATAGTTGTCTGCCTTATTTAAGGTGAGAAAGAAAACCACTTGTTGCTGGAATGTGAAGGTTCAGCTGAAAAGCTCCAATCATTAATGACTGTTTCCACCCTGCTTGGGCGGGAGCTGCGAGATGCAAGTGAAGAGCCTCGAATTGAGCTCAGAAATAGTAATTTGGAGATAAATAATTGTGGGTGCTTGGTGGTGGAAGCTCTATGGTAATGGCACTAGAAATGGGAGGCGTGTCTTTTACTTCCAAAATACAAATAACAGTGTAAGCCAATGCTACCTGAACAAAAAAGTAAACTAATATATAAATAAATAAAATAGCATATTTAATATTACAAAAAAAGTAAAAAAAAAATGACGAGTATACAATTTCTGGAAATTCCTCTCGTGGCCTCTAACAAGTGAATTATTTTGCTTTTGCTTGTGCCTTTTTTGCGTGGGCCCTGCTCCAGGGCTGCCAGGGCCCTGTGGCTTCCTGATGCCGGGTAAGGAAAAATAAGCCTCCACGAGTGTCTGGGCCAAACCTTCCCGCCTTACCTCCTGACTGTGGGCCTTCCAGGTGGCTCTGTGTGTGTCCTGCTTGGTTTCATCCCTCTCTTTCTCTTTGTTTTATGTATTTGTGACCTCTAAATAGTGTCTTCAGGACAGAGTTTTTTTGTTTTTTTTTTCTTGTTACAAGAGTATTATAGGCCCAATAAAGAAAATCTAAACAGGAAAATATAAGCAAAAAGCAGCATTCTATTACTGCCAGAACTAAAACATTAGACTCAGTACATAGAGATAACCACTCTTAAATTCGTTTTATTTTTCCACCTTTTCTGGCCATATATATGGATTGAGGTTCCTTGCATAAAAAATAGAATGGGAGGTTATTATTGTTCTTAATGCATGTTTGTTTCAAGAGAGCCACTCCTCATCAGAGGGTAAAGAGAAATTCTTGAAGATTCTGTCAACACTTGTTCACTAAACAGGTTTTATGCGTAAAACTAAATCCTTATTGGTGTGGAGCACAGAGAAGGTTCCAGTAGCGTCTCACCTTCCATGGCTGGCAAACCTGGGGGAAAGATGATGATAATTTCCAGTGGGCTGAGAGGTGTGTGATTCTTTTATAGAGTGGAGATGATTATCAGTGAGGACCTAGACAAGGAGAAACTGGCATTAAAAGCTCAATTATTTCTGGGCAAACTTGTTTTAGAAAGATGATATGGGGAAATCGAGAGAAAGCAAACTATTACAATTTTCCACTCCCAGAATCTCATCCACTTTTTGAAAAATGCTGGTGCTTGTCCGCATATCTCAAAGCTTAGAGTCCCCTGGGGAATATTTCTTGTAAAAAAAATAGGCTATGACAACACAAATTTGAGTAAAGCTAGAAACTTATATTCTATTTTCAGAGCATCATAGTTTACATTTGTTTGTTAAATGTTCATTAAATGTTCTCAATAATCCAATGCATCTATACGTACATGCACACATAGACGTCTGCTTAATTCAAAATTTAGCGAGCCAATTTGACCTGATTTTTTTAATTTAATGACTGTAGCATCTTGTGTGCTTGCATTTTAGCATGGATGAAAATATATTTGAGAGAAAATTCATCCAGATCAGTGCTTCCTGAAAGAACTTTCTGCAGTGAAGGAAATGTTCTTGTCTGCACTGCCCACTGGTCCCCCGTTACTCTTGAGCTCTGCTCATGTGGCTAACACAACTGAGGAATGGCACTTTTAATTTTATTTAATTTTAATTTCAACTTGAATAGCCTCATGTGTCTACCACATTGGATAGTGTGGTTGCAATAAGAGGAAGAAGTCATGTCAGAGGTGGCTGTGAAAGGTTGAATCTTGCTAGTGAGTCAGTCTGCTGTTTAGACTAGCAGACAAGTGTGAGGACAGTGCTGAAGGCGGGTAGACCTGCTGGAGCAGAACTGTGCGGTGGGAAAATGCTGGAGCTGTTCCAGGGCCACCAGGAAACAGTTGAGCTGAGACTTGCTAATTGACAGCTGATATAAAGCCCTAGATCTCTCACTCAACTCTAGCAGCTTAGTATTTACTAAGTCATCCAATCAGCATGTACTTCAAGGTATGCTCTAAACCAGATAGCGAACAGCATGGGTATAAGATAGTGGGTAAGCAGTGTAGACATTCAGAATGCAACAAATGCAGTGTAAGTGCATTCCGCAGACTTCAGGATTTAGACAGCATTCTTACACCTTCATTTCAGAGTGTTAGCAAGCACTGAAATCCATAATTCCCTTTGTCAGCATTTGTCTTAGTGTTGGCCAAAATATTGTGATGTTTCATTATCTTATTTAAATCTCTTCTCATTCAAGATTTATGACAATTCAGTCTGAATCTCTGCCACTGCTACTGTCACTAATAGCAATAAAATAACAACAGCTAACTGGAATTTAAAGCTCTGACTGCAGAGCTTACTTTATAATTTTCGATAAAAATATTCTCAAGACAAGTTATCAATATAAATAAGATTACCAGTCTGTTATTGAAATATACTTAGAAAATGGATGCTTTGAACCACCCTCACATACTTTGCTAATGATGTACACTCATAAGAAATGAATTGGTAGAAGGCAAAGCATTCTAATCTATTAATTAAAATCATTCATCCTAGGAGATCTAGTGAGTAGGATGTTTTGAGCTTACATACTTTATGAGCTTGAAAGCAATAAATTGATGCTTCTTTCAATATTTTATAATTTGAGGTGTTTTTTATATTTTAATTTAACTAGTCCCTTAGCTATGCCAGTTTAATGTTTAATTTTATTCATGAAAATCATGTAATACATACTCCTAATATTAAGGTTTGTAAATATGAGATTTCAAATTACAGCAGGAAGATAAATATTATTTCTTTGAAGACATGTTTACATAGCTATATTTAAATATAATTTAAATATTTTCTCTGCTAGGAAGGGCTACGCTATTACTTGGAGTAATTAATTCTTTCAGTACAGTTTTTAGCCTACATTTTTCAGAGTATTTCCTGTGCGGTATAATCTCATAGTTTCAGTATGCAATAGAAATAAACGAACTGGGTGAACTAGTGTATCAATAGCATGTTCAGCTAATGCCTAGGTCAGAGCATTCCTGAATGGAAAGTAGGTGGTCCCAACTTGATGTTGTAGCCCAAATGTCCTAACCCCATCTTCCAAACATCAGGTAAAATTAGAGAGATCAAAACATCGGCAGTAAGACAGAGGTTGTTGCCTAGTCTGAGTTTAGATTGAGTCAGTCAGGTTAGAATGCATAATCCTGTTCATTTCTGCTTTCCTCTTACTGCTTTTGTGCAGTCTGATGGGAATGAATGTGCAGTCTTCTTTCATTCAACAAATATCAAGCTCCTTATGCCCCAGTCATGGTCCCGAGGGGTTAATACGGTATTGAACACAGAGAACAAGTCCTGCCCTCATAGAGCTTATGTTCTAACACATAAAATGAAATAGATGATTCCAAGGCAATATGGCAGTTGAATGATAGACGTATGTACAAAATACCAACGATCTATATCCACACCAAGCAATTATGAGGTGTTAACCACTGTGTCTGTGAAGTCACCAGAAGATTATGGGTCAGGTGTAAATGAGAGGATTGTGCAGAGGAGGGAAGAAGATAAATGGAGGATGTGTGATGGCTTGGATATAAAGAATCTGGAAGACGATGTCCCAAGGACTTCATTATTAGATGTTTAAAGGCCAAGCATAGTGTCAAGGAAACCCAGAGCTGATAGATTCAAGATGGTGAACATTCCACCCTGACATGGTTGATCTCTTTCCCTAATTTTATATTTTGAGATGCCTCTGGATTCTGTAATTCCTGGGGGAAATTTCCCACCTCAGTGATAATACTGTAATATTGTCATTTTTCTCAGCAAAATTAACATTTTGCTTGGTGGGGGTAGAGGCATATCTCAATAAGCTTGAGGTCTTTTTTATTTGTGTCTCAGAATTTTACGTTGATACTATCCTTAGTCATTGAATGAAAGTGTGCAGGTAATGAAATAATTTAGCTCAAATTGGAAGAGAAGAAAAATTAACTAGTTAGATCAATTTTTAAGCATTGCTTATAACTTGATCAAATGTTTTATACATTTTCAGATTCAGTATCACTAGCACATAATTATAACTGAAACAACCTTAGCTTTAGGGGATTATGATGTAATCATTATCCAATGAAAATATTCAGATTGGTATATGATTGCCAAAAATGTCATCTTAAAAAAAGGGCTATTTTTCATTGTACTCTTTCAATCTTGAAAACAATGAGGAAATTTTTACCAGACTTTAATAGGTGATGCAAACCAGCAATTAGTTTTCTGCTCTTAAATAATTGATGCCCCTATTCTCTCTGATACAATAACGCCATAAATTAATTATTGCTACTCTCCTTTTAACTGTGGCTCAAGAAGTTATTCACTAGCCTAAAGTCACATTTGTATGTAGGAAATGACCAAGGCTTGTGATCCCAAAGGGTCATGCTCAGCCATATGCTTTGGTTTAACCATATGTAATGCAAATGTATAGGATGTTGATGTTCATGCCTCATCCTATGGAGACCAACTCCACCCTCCCCTGAAACCACCTTGCCAATATCAACAGCCTCTTTTTAGTTGTGTCTGTTTATTCTCAGCTGATTTCAACCTATGGTTTCAAATATTTAGCTATAACTTTTCTTTTGAAATTTAGATTCATATTTCCACTTCCCTGTTTACTTTGTGAATTCTTCTCTCTTTCAACCTTGCAGAAACATAAAACACATATTCCAAAATGAGTGTCCCAATCAAACACATCCTCTTGTACAACTGCATTTTGTGTATACGTACACACACACACGTGTATCACTACTACTAAGCCTTGATTTTGCCAAAGATTTGTACATCTCATTTGGCTTTGAACCCTTAAATCTTCAAAACTTATCCTAGTGCCTGGCATAAAGTAGACTCTCAATAAATATTTGTTAAATGAATGACCTAATGATGGAATTATGTTAAAATATGCATTTCATACAAATGCTTAAGAGATGCAGTATTGTGCTAGCAAGTGGAGCATAGACTCATTGGTTTAGTTAATTATGTTCAACATCAAATATTCCCTTCATTTTCTCTGAAATGCTGTTATTTTTGATGTGCCTCTGACTTGATACAGGGCGGTGCAAGAGGATTTTGTAATTTGAGTCATGTTTCTGAGGGATGCTAGAATGAAGGCAGACTCTGGGATATAGTTAGAAATTTGTGTCTGGAGCTTTTAGTAATAAATCAAAGTGAGATACAATTCTCAGTGGGTGGCGATATTGGTGTCATGTGCATAGCTAGTGATTTGAGTCAAGTAAGCAAGTCTGCCTACAAGCTTTAATGGATTTGAGGTCCAGCGGTTCTTCCATTACAGATGAAAGTACCTGACAAAGACAAATTGTTAACCAAACTTTTTGCTCATATTCCTTTTGAATTATTAAGCTAAACACACCTCCAATCCATATAGCTGATGCTAGACAGCTTTCGTGCATCAATTCCAAATCTTAAATCAACCCAGTTAACCTAGACTGGCCTCCTTCATTTCAGTGACATCTGCACCCCTAAAACTAGATTTCTTTTCTCCTCTGTAGTGCATATATTATGAGGCCTAATGTGTCAACAATAATTTAACATTTCTTGCAGCCATTTAACTTTTGGAAGGAGGAAAGATTGATGGTCAATGAAGTTGTATCAGCAAGCAGGCTACAGCTCCTTTCCAGATATTAAGGCCATATCAAAGAGACCTCTTCTTAATGTTGTACTGTTCAATCTGGTGATGCCGTCCCAACCCTACAAATCAGAGTTGCAGTCCTCAAAAGCATAAGATCATTAACCTTGGGTACTGTGACTCAGGAGAGGTCTTTTGCTACCCACATCCATTGCCCCATAGTTTTGATAATTTTTCCCCAACAATTTCTCCAAAGTCAGCAGCAGTTCCTGGTGTGGACAGAAGGTGGCCAGTGAACTTGGGGTGAGTGAATAAATGCCAAACTCCAACTTGCCTTTGTGCTTAAATTAGGCCAAACAAGTAGAGGAAGGCTTTCTTCTTAAAGTAAATCACTTTATGTTTTCCCCCCACTGCCTACCTTCTTTGGAAGTCTAGGGAAGAGTATCAGAACTTCCTGCGACTCCTGGGCTCATTCTCACCATCTTCAGCATTCACTAGTATCTCATTAAATGCTTAAACCCACCCATTGGAATGGCTGGTATTATTCTCCTAACTTCATATTTAGTGACAAATCTGCATTACTAACTTGGGTTGATGGATGTTGGTTTCTCTATCCAAGATGAATGTGTTATGATAAGGGACTTTTATATACTATCCCTGGATATTTTCTTTTCACCTAGAACTAATCAAGTGTGTAAAATTCAACAAGTGTTGGCATCTAGAAAGCTATGCTAACTCTTCTGCCATTTGATATGACTCTATTTAGCTTCTCCCTTTAGCTCTGATGTAATCTCCTTATTGTAGAAACAGATTAAAGATGTCATATCCTTTTAATAAGAACTTTGCAAGAGAATATCTCAGAAATTGTCTCTGGTGAAAAATGAATCATAAATGTAAAGAGAAGATAGAAGATAAACTTAAAAGGAAGAAGAATTATGTCTGGGATGATGAATGAGGGCAAGTGCTAGGTACAAGGGAGATAGTTTCAAAAGATTGAATATATAAATAAGCAGATTTACATAAACTTAGAAGATGTAAAAATCACATTGTAAGGTGCATTTGTAGTTATATGAAATTATTATCTAAATAAAATAGGGAAATTAATGGTATGTTAACACATTTGGGCATATCAGAAAATGCTATTTGGAATTTAAATGACTTTTGCAAACATCTTTGAATTACCCTTGACTCAGAACTGGTGTACTAGAAATAAATTATCATTGAAGAGCTGACTTGGTAAAAGGAAAAATAAAAAGTCAAGTATATTTGTGAACATAACCAACATGAAGAACTTAACACTCAGTATTTTGCTATATGTTCCCAATCCTGCTGCCATCAAAATAGTTCAGTGATCTCAGGAAATTGTCAGCAGAGGCTGTGAACATAGGAAAGATTGTGATTTTGAGTCCTTCAATTAAACAATCAGAGTCACCCATCTCATTTATGTACCCAGAAGAAACTCCAGATAGTGAAAATCATTGAACGGGTACGATTAGCTATACAAAAAAGCAAATTTGGTCCTGGAAAAAATTGGAGAAATCAAATGGTGATTATTAATAAAAAAGAGTTCAGTGGATATTTTTTTTTTTTTTAAGAAATCTCAACAATGTGCCAAACTGGGCAGGGATGACTTCAGCCTGGCATTTTTGTTACCTGGATATTAAATTCTCCAAAACATAACTAGCTTTTGTCCTATTTGAGTCTCTACTTTCTCATCTAAAAAATCACATGGAATTTTTGAAAAATGTCACATTCCGCAGAATAAACATAGCACCTGCCAACCCTGAGCGCCTTTATTCAAACCACATGTTTACAAGGTTGAAAGCACAGAAAACAAACCAAAAGACTATTTCTCAAGGTCTTGGGAAGCAGCCAGATAGGTGTCTACAGCCTTAACATTTGTAAAGGGGCTGTTTTGCTGGTATACACTCCTCGCTGCTTCATCTCCCACCTTTGTTCCAAGTTTGAGTCTTCTTTCTCCTAGCCTGGCTAAGGGACCCGTTAACAGTTCAATTTCCTTTTCTGTTGCTGAGGCTAAGTAAGATAACTTCTGCAAACCAAAGCCATTTGTTGTGGGGTATTCCATTAATGGAACTAACTGCCGCCATTCATCCCCAGTGTGCTGAACAGATCCATTTTTGCCCTTAATTGATTAAATAGGTTGGGTAGGTTGGGAAAGGGGTGAGAAATTAAATTTCTATGTGGTTCACTTCAGTATTAATCCTAACAACTTTCCAACTATCATTTGATATAGAGGTGATGCTAATTATTCTGGTTACCAAGAATAAATAAAGGTGACACTGTCCAGACTCCTACCCCCAGTGACTAAGTTGTCACTAGAAGCAAACACCACTCCTTCCCATTAACATAGTCGACCTTAGAAACGTAATTGAGCTGATTATAAAATAGGAATCTCGATGTAGAAAATTCTACGGGGTAAGGATGTTCATAGAAAAACTAAACAATAGAGAACACTGTCATCTTTGAATTTACTCCCAAACCACAACATGAAATTGCTGGTATTTCCCAAGGTCAGATAGCACTTGGATTTGAGGACTCTCTGGGTCCCAGATTTACTCATTGTCTTTCATACTTGAGTTTCTATCACTAGACTAACAACTCACAAACCAACTCTATTCTTAGAAAAGTGGACAGACTGTAGTTTATCTGAGCAGCACTCACACCACTTTTTGGATAGAGGCACCTTAGAAGGTTAGGGTCTTGATGGTGTGCGGGGCATGGAGGCTGGGGGTGTGGGGGCTTCTGTACAATCGACTCTGGAATTATCATAGCTTGTTCCAATGAGGATATAAAGCTGCTGAGAGGCTGGTGATAGCAAAAGCATAATTAATGTTTATGCTGTAAACTGTATTTTATGTACAGGATGGCAGGGGCAGCATGTCATCAGTCGCTCCCTAACAACAGATTAATGAGTTACCACAAGCCGAGCAGAAAGCAACACCAGTGACACATATTTTATTGAGGACAGTACAATTTTCACATTGGTGGCCATTTATGGAGTAAATATGTTCCACCAGAGGAACATGATTACAACTGAATCTGCATGTGGTCTAGATCTTTCATGGCTCACAGGATTTTCAAAGTGTATCCCAAAAAAGATGAGGTTGCAAGTAAATATCATCTCAAAGAAGATACAGAAATCCCCCATCATACACCTGTGCTAAGGTGCTAGCAAATCAAAAGGACTTGCGGAGAATGATGGTGATAATATTTTGGTTTATCTTAATTTGCGTAGAAGTGGCGCTGTTTTGTATCTCCCATATAAACACAGCACTGAGGTTATGAAGGCAGATGCATGCTATGATATTTTTAATTGCACTGATGAATTTGTATTTATTCATAAAATTTCTCCAACCATCTTCTAACACACATGCACGTACATGCACACACGCACACACACACTCAAAGTCTCTTTTTGAATTGATGGTTACTGCCTGAGCTTCAGGTGAAGGCAATGACCTGGGAACATCTACATCAGTCACTGGCCTATGAGCAGGTGGACCCTGTGACACTCAAGTCAAAAACTAGCCTCCTAACCCACCTGACATCATCTCACAGAACCTCCCAGTGAGATGACCTCCTGTTGCATTCATGAACATAATACAATAATGCTGATTTCTGGTTTTGTCATGGGAGACAAATACATAGCTATATGACCAATAATTTTTATCCAGAATTTACTCTGACATGAAGTCATTGGAGACATTTTAAGTACATCAAAATGGAAAGCATCAGCTTCTCATTTTTCAATTATTTTTTAGGTCCCGTGGATGTCAATATTCTAGCTAAATGCAATCCCTGCTTGTCAAATCCATGTAAAAACGATGGCACCTGTAATAGTGATCCCGTGGACTTCTACCGCTGCACCTGCCCATATGGTTTCAAGGTCAGTGGAAGCTGTTGCGGGGACCACAATCTGAAAACATGGCTTTCTTAGGTGACCCTTAATAATTCTATTGTGCTTTCTCTGTGTGCTGAGAACTATTTTATTCACATTTGACTCCACTGGCTGTTGCTTCTCCAGGGACAGGACTGTGATGTCCCAATTCATGCGTGTATCAGTAACCCATGCAGACACGGAGGAACTTGCCGCTTAAAAGAAGGAGACAAAGATGGATTCTGGTAGGTTCTTCCTCTGTGATCTTTTGTGTCTAAAGTAGTGAAGCATGAATAACTAAGCAAATACACATTTTTCTTTTCCATGAAAGGAGATTATTTTTAAAAGAATGCTAGGAATCTATTCAGAGGGACAATATGTATTATCCCCAGTCAGAGATACTACAATATTAAAAACAAATGGAGACATTATGGTATGCTTAGCTCAGAATGGTCCACAACCAAGAAATGTAAAAACATGCCCACGCATACATTATATTAATCAAATCAGATTAGGTCAAGACAAAGTGGTGGCTCTCTTATGCTAATTAATAGCCAACTAGTCCCTTACTGCAAGTTATATATCCATCTATTGTTCTGTGTATTGCTTTAATGACAGTATGTAATGATAAGATGCAGGTCCCACTGAAACAGAAAATTAATGATTCATTTCCAAGCCACAATCTGAGTAGAAAAACATGCTGTGAACATTTTTAATCTGGAGTTATTTAATCATACTGAACAATTACTTCAGATGTACTTCATAATTCATGAAGTACATCTTATAATGACACTAATAATTTCTCATAAGAATGCTAGATCTACCACTAAAACTGGTTAGAAATATCACTTATTATAATAAATGCACCTCATTGCTGCATCCCCTTATGAAATTATCTTTGCAACAAGACTTTACTCAAAGATCAACCTGACAGCTCTCAGTAGTAAACACCCAGTGCTTTATTTATGCCAGTGTGAAAAAACCGTACTTGTTCAGACTTACAGAGAATATTCAGGTTTCATAATTTTAAGTAAAACAACATTTTCTTTTCCAATGTATTCTTTTACTTGAGACACAAAGCGTAATCATTGTCACAATTTTAAAAATCAGAGCCACTTCTTCCTCTCTAATGAGCAAAGAACCTAGGGTTGTAGAACACAAATTAAAATAAAGATAGTCAGGGCAGTAGGGTAAGCTGCCTGTGTGTTTACACCTGCATATATACTGCATCTATTGACTGAAAGACCATGGGCCATTTGCTGGCATGCATTTTCATATTGTTTCTGATTTCAGGGTAGTACCCTCAATGAATGCTTATACTATGTCCTTTAAAGGCATTTTAAGGGCCAGTTTCTTTGTAGTGAAAAGCTCTGTAGTTAATGAGAACATTTAACTTTTTCCCAGATTTAGACTGTATGATGTTAAGATGCAGCAGATGATCTCTGCCTTGTCTTCTGATGTTTAGGTGTATTTGTGCTGACGGATTTGAAGGAGAAAATTGTGAAGTCAACATTGATGACTGTGAAGATAATGACTGTGAAAATAATGCTACATGTGTCGATGGAATTAATAACTACACATGCCTTTGTCCACCTGAGTACACAGGTAGGGGGAATGAGAAAGGCCATGCCATTGATGAGTATATCCACATGAAGCATCATCAACATGGTGCAGTATAGGGTTAAGAAACCATTGCATTATCTTGGTAGATGTCTTGGAAACCAGATATTGTGTAAACAGCAAAAATATGTCAATCAAACAAAACACCTGGCAAGCTCAGGTAGAACATGGACATTTATCATCAAGTATTGCTTTCCAACCAAAAAAAGCAATTCTATAGCTTTCAGTCCCACAATCAAATGTGATTTTCATGCAAAGCACTTGCCCTGCGCTAGTCAGCTCACCAGTGCTAATGTAAAAGGGCATTTCTTTCCATAGACAAAACATAATTAAGTATTTGAGATCAGTTGTTTCTTTACTAGTGAGTCTTTCCTCTAGTAACTCACATCCTTCAAAATAAAATGCAATTGGCAAGGTATCGAGCACTTTGGATATTCTTAGGAGACCGTTACTTTCTTCTGACATTTTGTCAGAAAAATGGGGTGATGAATTTCCTAAGGCCATCCAAATTGTTAAACTTATTCCTTGGATAAACCAATTTGCTATAAAGTCAACATCAAGTTTATGACTTGCCTATCATGTCAGCATATATATTTTGATTGATTTTTGTGATTAAACAAGAAATTTCAGTTACAATCCTATTTTCTTAATAAACCACTTGGTTTTAAAGTTGATAGAGAGAAGGAAAAGATATAAATTTTATTTGTAAGAAAAAAATGGAGAAGTCTATTCTGTTACTTTATTAAAATGACCATTTTCATTTTGCTGGGGGTTTTCATTCATGATATTTACCTTCACATAATTTAATACATATTTAAGAATAGCAGGGGGTAACAAAACATGTACATGACTGAAATAAACATCTCTGAACATGAAAGGTGAAAGCACATCTGTATGATGAACTTTTTCAGGGATAAGTTAGAAGATTATTGAAATTTAAGTTTTTTTGAATGCTCAAATCTGACATTCAGAGTCACAGCGACCGGAAAACTATTGATAAGCAGAGGCAGACACTGGAGCAGGGTATTAAACAGTGAGATTGGTGAAAATGGAGAGGTCCCTCAAACTGGACCCTCCTCCTCTTAAAACAGCTTTTTCTTCTCTGCATCCTGACAACCATAGGAGATGGGGAGAGTGGCCCCTGAGTCATGAAGACCCTTTGGACCTGACTGGTCACTGCGACTCTTGAGGAGCTTGGCAACCAGGGAGAGGGGCCAACGCCACAGGCTACAGGCCCATCCATTGATGGGAAAATGCTAGCTAGAATATTGGGGTTCTGTTGTGAGGGTCTGTGAAACTGCCTTTTCCGTGATATGATTGTTTTATATGAGTGAAGCACCTGATGTCATAGGAAGAAATATCAGATTGAATCTCCAGTAGACGCTGGAACATATTGTATCCCTGAGTATTGTACTACATATTCATGAAGCCCGAACTCTTTTGGAGGGCAGAATTTGAATGCTCTTGATATTTTGCCCTAAAGGCTAGTGAGTCTGTTCCCGAGGCACCCCTTCTAAAGTGGCTGTGGAGAGTTGAGGCATTACCTAACTTTGACCTTCACTCCAGTGTGACTGTATCATACCTCGAATACTTGCCATTATCCTGCAGGCACAGATTCTGGACACTATTAACTCTCCTGAGAATCTGAGTTTTATTGGGTGGGCTAAAGTAGACTTGTCCCCATAACCCCTATGTTTGCTCTCAAATCTGTCACCTTGCCCCTTCTTAGGATAGAATAGTCCTTTCCTGTCATTGTTCTAGTCATTATAGAAAGGCTTTCATTCACATAATTTTGGAGGCCCCCCTTTAAACCAATGTATTTTGAGCAGAACGCACCAGACCCATGCTATCCAAACACACTTTGGTTATCCAGTGCCTTCTGAGCACAGAAGCCAGGAACCTATCTGGAATTTACCAGGAATTGATTTCCTCATACAAACCTGGACTTTCAAGCACTCCTGTGATCAGGAGCTCACCTGCCTTTTGATGATAATTTATATAAGGTGGCAGACCCTTCTAAGTAGCTTTGCGGGGGACTGCCTGCATCTGCTTTAGATCTGCTCTCCTTACCCATTTCTTCTGTGTTTGTGTCTGACCTTCTCACCTTTCATTTCCCAACTCCCTCCCTATCCCTGATCCTCTTGAACATGTTTTCTCCATCTGACAGGATCCAGGGGAATACATCTCCCTGAGAACTGTTGCAAAGTCACATTTCCCCATGTCATATCTTTCATTGAAATATCATAAAAGTAAAACCTAAGCAGAATGACTTCTTAGCAAGAGGTGACATCTATAAAAGCTACCTGCCACAGCTGTCTCTCAAGAGCCATGTGCTTATCAGCATATCCTGAGACTTCTGGCGTATTTTTAGTTGGAAATATCAATTTGTCTTCATTCAGGCAAGGGATAAACAAAAATATCGAACTTACAGAAAGCTCATAACATCCGAACCATGAAGACACCACCACTGTAACTTTGGGCTGGTTCTTGTGGGCAATAAAGAGTTTTGACAGTTTGACATTAGAGCAGATATCAAAGAGGCAAGTTTCTGCCTTATTCCTTACTAATATTTTTTTCCATATGTGAAGTGAGCTCACTTACAAAATATCAAATATCCATCTGCAGATTCTAAAATCAGTGACACATAAACAGCCTTTAATTTTAAGTAGTAAGTGGACTCTAGAAAATTTCATTGCCTACTCACCCAAGTAGTTAGGGAGGAATTTTCTTATAACAGGGTCATATTGTCTTAGATTTAAGGTTGGAATCTGATTAATGAGCATGAGATTTGGGAACAGAAACCCTGACATGCTGAGGGAATATAATAATAATGTTGCCATTGTTTAAAAATCATTCAAGTCATAAGTTGCTTTACTGTTTGAAATTTGTTGTACTCTGTACCCCAAAGGCAGACAGTGAAAAACTGAAACTCTTTCAGAGGTAGCAAGTAAACCTTTGTGGGAAAATTTTGTTCGTTATTATCATGAAAGATTTTAGATTGAACTCACATCAGGAGTCAGAATGGATGTAATGTTGATGGACTAAATTCAGAGATCTGCAAGAAATTTGACAGAGAAAACATGATGTGATGGGCAAGCTATAAAACACAACTAGAAATATTCCAAACAAAAATGAACCACTGTTGGGAATGCATTAAAGTTTATTAGTTAAGCCCTTGTGACCAAATATCATGGTTTATAGTTATTGATTTACTGAAAGACTATCTAAACTCTGCTTTTATTCTACCTCAGGGATTAATAACATAAGTTTAATGGACATTGTTGTTTTTCTATTTTCTAACCCTTGCTTTATCAAACAGTCATCCTATTTAAGTACTATTTTTTTGTGCTTCAGTCAATTCATCACCTCCCCTTCAAGCTGTATATGACACATAACTTAATTTCTAATAGGTTTCCGACAAAATTAAGATTTGAAAATTTAATTCACTGTGATTCTCAATTAAAATCATTAGGCTAAGGGTTGAGGAAATAAGGCTTGGGATGGTTAAACAAATAATTGTAAAATCCACTCTAGGGTGTTAAGTTTAGCTTGAGAGATTATGTCTTTGGTTTGGGTTGTGATTTCTTTGGTAATCATGACTGTATCCTTTCTAAATATAAGTAATTTCTTGGAGGTACATTTTCCATGGATTCCTTAAATTACACAAACTCAAAACCTATAAAAAATGAAAACTGTTAATCTTGTACCCCTTCCACGTTGAAAATCTTGACACCTTTTCTTAAACTCTGGTATGAATTTAGGTGTTGAATTGACAGATGTATTTTTGCACGTTTCCTGAGAGCATAAGTCAGTCTGCTCTGTCAAGATTATGTTTCTTAGTTAACCCTGCTCTCACTGGACTACTTTCAAAAGTGATCCAAAGCTGATTCCATTCTATACCATGGTACCGTCTAGTGGGATTGCATCAATATAGTAAAAGAAAATTTCCGTGCAAGCTGATCAGAGTATGGTTTAGATATTATTTTGTGGAAAATATTCAGACCATTTTAATTTTTTTCCTTTTTGTACCACTATCTCTTTGTTTTTTCCAAATCCCCAGTGTCTACACACAAATTGTTAAGTGCATACCTTAAAACACTTTAAAATGGCAAATCTGCCAGTTGTTGATCACCTGGTTTAGACACAGGTCTCTAGCCCCCTGCGATGGCCTCACCTTTGCCTCACCTTTTCCATGTTTGTGCGTCTGGCCCTCCTGTAGGTAAGAAATCCAAGCCCTGCTTCAGTTTGCTCTTTCTCTGGCTTCTGTGTTTTAATGCTGCGCACCGGCTCCATGTGCTCCACTGTTGTATTGCAATGTAAAAAGTCTCTTGTCTCTTCTGTCTTTGTCGCTGCCAGCTGCTAATCTGAATGAGGTGGAAAAAGGTTAGTTGCCTTTTAAGTCTATTACGATTTTTGTTATAGTCTCCCTCTTTTTTTTTTTTTTTAGAAAGCTTCATAGATTCTCTTGTGTGTATGGTAATAGGAATGTTGACAAAATATGAAATCTGTAATCAATATGTCCAGTCAATCATCCAGACCTCTGATAGATGGGAAGTCCTGCCACTCTAAAGCACTATAAAAGGAAAACTGAAATACTTGGTTAATTTTAATAGAGTCTACAAGGAACTCTCTGATTAGGAGAAAGGAGTGACTAAAAGGATAGACTCATACTTTCTATTTGTCTATGTAATTTTTACTTTTTAAAAAGATATTAAAAACATGTATTAATCTCTTAATGAAAAAAAGTAGGTCGTTTAGTATAGAAAGTAGACTGTTGATAGAATTTTTTTCAGAATGGGAGTTTTCCCATAACTTTATTATCTTTAGTAAATTGAAACATGAAAAATACTGAAAGATAGAAATATTTGTTAAAATATCTTATAGAATAGATATGACAAAGCCCAAGAGAGTGATCCACAAATTGGCAATCCCAAACTCATTACATGATTATTAGGCAGTATTTTTAAAATATAAAAGGATCCGTG